ATGTCAGAGCCCGACAGTCCACGGAGACTGGGCTCTGCGAGCACCGCAGGGGAGCGGACGGAGCGGACGGAGCGGACGGAAGGGCCTGCGGGGGACGCGACGCCAGCAACACAGCTGCCAAAGAAGGGTGGTATCTCATTGGGGGGCTTGAAACGCTCCAGCAGCCACGTAGCGGCAGTACTGGGTAGCTTGGCGGACGCGGCTGGTGGCTAGCAAAAAGATGCAAAAAGGCCCATTGGGGCCCAAAGGGAAAGGCTGGCTGGTGGGGAAAGCTCCCAATCTGGTGAGTTCGGTGTGTTTTATTCGTTCATATTCGTTCTTTACACTCATCATTCATTTTTTTGCATGAATGGGGTTAGATCTACCAACCAGCCAAAGAAAATGCAAGGTAAGGTACCGAAGGATTGGCCATGATTAGGTGAAACATGGTGACATTTATATGTGATGAAACATGCTGGAAAGTTTGGATGTCGCGGGTTTGCCAATGGTTTATCATGACCTGAAGAAGGGCGAATGCTGCAATGCTTGAGGCTTAATTATACTAAGGAGGGGAATGCCCAACAGTGATGGTGATGATTTGGAGGAGGGATTGTGAGTTGAAAAGTTGAGATGAACCCCCTTAAGCCCGACATCTCGCAGAATTCACATGAATTCGACATCTTTGGTGAGTGCACGTCAATGCTTCCATCGTTTCCGGAATCGAGGCAAATCTCTCCATACGTACAACAAAGAGAGGTCCTCGATCGGGACATCAGGGTTTGGCCCTCGGTTCCACAGCAGAGTCTCATGGGTTGATGGCCCGGTTGATGACTGACTTACTGGTGCTTAGCAGGGAATGAGGGAATGATTCCGGAAATGATCCATAATCACATATAATCACTAGTAATAATCATCCCAGCAACCCCCATTCCCATCCATTCCCTACGTTTAGCACCAGTAAGCTGAGGACCCGCAGAAAACTGAAGCAGTCCAGATGGCGAGCATTTGTCCCTTGGACTAGCTGTTACGGTCGAGGTTGGTGGTTGGCCTGGGTTTGATTTGTTAATCCATCAAACAAAATTACCCAAAAAAATGGGCCCCCAAATGCCTCCAAAACTAATGGAATAGATATGATATGATATGATATGATATGTAGAAAAAAACATGGTTTTTCTTTCCCCCACCTGCCAGGTGATGGCCCCTAGATTTTAACAAAGGTGCAACTCCTTCCTCATCCTCCTCGCCTCCACCTCCTCCGCTAGCTCACAGCAAGTGCCAGAAGCTCATCGCGAACTCTGGGCACGCATTGACCCGAACATATGCCGGATAGAATGTCAGAATAATTCAGAATAGCTGCCGAAATAGATCCCAGATGGACTGTCCGAATATATGTCAGATCAAATGTCGGATAGAATGCCAGATAGAACGCCAAATAGACTGTCAGCATATATGTCAGATAGATTGTCAGTGGATGTCAGTGGGTGTCGGTTACTCCATTTTTTTTTGTGTCGAATAGTAGGGGCAAGGGATGGTTTGTTACAGCAATAACATGTTTATTGCAAGTCCGATTTAGGCAGAATGACATGCCAGGTGGGTAGTCTCATGGGCCGCTGCGGATGTTGTCAGAGTGCCGAAGGACTGCGATGCTTGTCTTGTTTCACCAAGGATGTGTGTTGACGATGTAGGAACGACCCAAAGCAACTCAAGACCTTGAAAACTCATTGAACTCATTGAACTATCAGAACGGATGTGTTTTTTTTTCCTTTTTTTTCTCCAGCTGTTGGATGGGTTTTATACCGGAACTGGCTGTCTGGCTGCCAGGAGCAGTTCCACCTGCTGCAACTCGGCAATATTCCATGGGGTAGCGGCCCCCAGTGAAGTTCGTTGGTTTACTCTAGTTCATACATTTCATACTAGGGAATATAGTTAATTGATGTTAATTGATATTAATTAATTGCATTTAATTCCCATAAACCCTAGTGAAATTGGAGCTCTCATCCAACTTAGCTATCTAGGCGGTCTCACCTAATAAATCGTAAGCAAACGTAACTGACAACATATTCATAACTTGGCCACTCATGTTTGTTTTGAACATTTCTTTAATGTTACTCCGCCTTTAGTTACTAAGTTGCTACGTTTTGCGCAACACATGGGAATATTTACGAACCAGGTTCTTGAAATTTGAGATTGGCCAAAGGAATTTACCCTCCGGAAGACTTACATACATAAATATGGGCCATTAAGAGTATCTAAATTAATTAGTCTTAATTATATACGCGGCTCTTTTTCTTGGAAACGACATGTTTAGGGTCCAGGGGGAAGATTTCGGGGTTTAGCCACCAAGCATGGAGGATTGTTCGAGCACAGCTAGAGGGCGCTAGGGATTGTGGGTTATCCACCCTCACTGGGTCAGCGGATGCGTGCGAGTCATCCGTGCCATGTTGTTGTCCCGGAAAAGTCAACAACAAATGGGCCGAACTTGGATATTTCAATTATATTTGATATATATATATATATATATATATCAACCAATACTTGGGACAATCACCATATATATCTACATTATATATATATATTGATATATATATATAGAGATCGAGCAATATGATGCAATAGTCAACCAGGATTTGCTGGTGATATGTTTAATATCAGGCTAGATCAGGCTATTCGTAGGATCAACTTCAAAACCGCTGACACCGATGTCAGGTGAGTCTCATGACAGACGTGGAAGACCTGAAGCAGAACGTGCGAGCGAGGATGTCCAAGCACACCTATTCGGTGAAGGAGACCGCCCAGTTTTGGAAAATCCATGGGGATTTCCCGAGTTTCCTGGTTGGAAATGATCCACACATCGCGGATGTTACATATCTATGTTAGTTTACTGGAGGGCATGTCACTAGGGAAACCAACGCGATGAAGGGGGGAACATTTACTCAGCACAACAAAAATTGGGATAGAACCAGGAAAAAAAACATGCGATATGCGGGTAAAGCAACTGGTGCTGGGTAGTTTGATGCTAACTTTTGAATACTTTTGATATTTTTTGCCAATTTGATGGGACCTTGGGGCTGTCTCAAAGTATGGAGTACCTGGCAAGTCATTACAGAAAATTGCAAAGTGGGGAATATAGTTATGCAGCAATGCATCATTTTTCTTCGTTTGGTACTGTACATTCTGAGATGGTCACAAATGGCTTGAAGAAAATGGCTGTTGCAAATTGCATGAGTGATTTACGTCTACGTACTGCATGGAGCAACTCAGCGTCGCCGTGTTATGTCATTAGGCATGGCAGATCTGGTGTCTTCACAGTAGCCTGTCTAAGTCTAAGTCACCCAGCACTTCATTGCAAAGGCTGCCTAGAGTCCTAGATCCTGTTAAACAGGACCACTACAAGACAGAAGGAATCTGCCAACAGATTGCAAGAAGCAACTGGTTTGAAAATCTGACCCTGACGATCATTGCCGAAGCTTGGCGATCGAATGCAAGCTGTGTGCTGATGTCTTTGGAAACAATCCCACCAAGATGGATACCGGTGGTTGGGGGAACTCCCCTTTTAGACACAAGCTGGTTGGTGGTTTGGAACATTTGGATACATTTGGATTATGTTTCCATATTTGAGAATTCCCAACTGACGAACTCCATCATTTTTCAAGAGGGTTGAAACCACCAACCAGGATATAAAATTTGAATATAATGAACATATATCAGTCAGATATGACCCACAGTTATGAAAAAAAAACCAACTGTGGGTCATGTTTTCATAAAACTGTGGGTCATCATCCCAAGATGCTTGAAACCACCAACCAGCCATCAATTCCACCATAAATCACCATATAAATCACCATATAAATCACCATAAATCACCATAAAAGTACCTTAAGTAGTGAAGAATGACCCTTTCAGTTCTGAACAAAACCCACCAAAAACGCTAAGTCGCCAAGTCGTTGAGATAGACACTCTCCGAGGTCAACTCTTTGTGGATGCTTGGCACTCGAATCCATGGGGCAATGACAAACCACAATAGCCTTGTTTTGGTTATGACTAACATAGCCATGGTATAGATGGCCCATTTATAGATGGGGTTATGACTGACAGTGATGTTTACTATGTTACTGGGCTGATATCTATTGATATCTTATAGATTTATAGGACCCAAATGGTTTCATCAGTGCAAAAAAAAACATACCATCTGGATCCATCTGGTTATGACATTCACAGTTCGCCCAACCCAAATGGTTTCATCAGTGCAAAAAACATACCATCTGGTTATGACATTCACAGGGCTAGCCATGGTTTTTTGATGGCCCCAATCGAAATAGATGGTTTACCGAACTTAATAGCATGGTGGATCTTTCCATGGCGAACTGTGAAATAACCAAAGGGTAATCCAGTTTTTTATTGGGATAATTTATCCAGATACGAAGTAGGTGGGCATCATAGATGATCATGATGTTTTGCTGGGAGAAGCCACTGCTTTTGGCCTAACGAATTTGTCGCTGTGTCAGATGCGTCTGGTGAGTGCGTTATTCTCATTGTTGTCATCACCAAATGATCATTGCCATTCTCGTTGTCCAAGCCGTGATCATCCGTGATCATCATCATATTTTCTTTTGGGCATGTGCACCCCCATTGAGTTATTGGCGCAATGCCAGCTTTGTCATGTGTTCATACTTTTATAATTACCCGGCCTGGTTATGACATTCACAGGGCTAGCCATGGTATATATAGATAGCCCTAATCGAAATAGATGATAATAGACAGATGATTTTCCCAGCTAGAAACCGCCATTTATAAGGCCATCTATACCATCCTTTTCCATGGCAATTTTCTGTTCGTCATAACCAGATTCGGTACCTCCATGGCTGAAGCGTTAGTGCCGTGCCGCCTTGGCTCCATGGTTCCAGGATCTGGATTGACACGGACAACAATGACGCGTCGGACGCCCAGATTTTGAACAATGGGCAGTTGCCACAGAAAAGGGCGCCGTAAAGAACTTTGACGCCAAGTCTGGCAATGAAAATATTTAAGGTGCTAGTGCTAGTAATATCTAGTAATTAAATGTAATTAACCAGCACTAGACATTACAATCATTACATCACGTTTTGTTTTCACATGATTTGGGGATATGATTTGGCAATTTGTCCAATGTTTTTATGTCCATGATCTTGTGGTTCCATCACCCGGTCACCCGGCCCAGTTGCGTGACTCCTGCAGGTCAATTATCACAGAGGCCAAGGTCGAATTTCAAATCGAAACCTGGCAAGATATTGGGGAATCTCCTCTCAGATGGGTCGGGTTTTGATACATTCTAGACTGTTTTTTTTTACGGGTAAACTAACAGTAACTAACATAGATGGATGTGGATCAAAACCCTGTACCCCCAGTGAACCTCAAGGTTGATGGTCATCCCTAAAAAACCACATGATTAGTAGGTTTTGAATGGTTTTGACCCATACCCAGATGTGGAAAACCTCAGGAAATTCTAAACAGATGGTGGCTTTTCCACATCGGTTTTTTCGTTGACCACGAGGCTTTCCTTTGTTGAGCAATGGGCCCACGGGACCGCGTCACAACTGGTCCTTTTTAGGATTGAAGATGTGTGAACCATTATATATATAAATAGGCCATAGGAATAAACCATATATAATATTATATAGTAATTATATATATATACAATATATAAACCACAATAAAATATAATATAACCAGCAATTTTGATGAATCTTTCAGGGTCCAATGTCTCTGACCCGTTCCCATTTGAGGCGGAGAATCTGTTTTGCACCTTCTTCACATTCGAGTGGCTGGTGCGATTGCTTCCTTGGCCGCAGACTGCGGCAAGGGATGCACCATGATCCACCCTTTCAAGCGCTGAATGAAAAAACCTCCCAGAATGGTCTGTCAGACCTCTTGGTTTCACAATGTTTCACATATTCCATTTATTCAATAGCCCCTTGAGCCGATTGCAAGCGCTGTATCACTTGAGGTTTGCGTTTCAACGGAAAGTTCTAGCTCTCACTGATGCATGGCCCCTTTGATGGCAGGGAGCCGGAGGGTGGAATGGATGTGCAGCTTTTCCGAGCTGATTTGTTTGGTGATCTGCTAAGTATGTTTATTACAAACACACCATGGGCATGGGCTAATCAGTACAGGTTCTTCAAGTCCTTGAAGGTCTTGAAGATCTACCCTCTGGTAAACTAACATAACTATGGAAAATCATCATTTTTCATGGGAAAACTCACTATAAATGGCCATTTTCAATAGCTACGTTAAATTACCAGAGGGTATCGATTCAGATTTTTGTTGGGTGATGGTCGTCGGATTTGGCCCGAGGTTTGTATTAGACACGCTCTTGGTGTCCTTAATGATCGTGGAGACCTGGATTACGACACCTGGATGCGCTTGGAGCTGGTCCTGGAAGATCAATATACTTTAGGGAAGATTTACAGGAAACGGTCATTTGATATTGTGAAGAACATGGGTTTGTCTGAAAATAGTGTACCCCTAAACCCAATGGTTAATGATCATTATCCCTATTAAATGGCTATAATTGGGAATATACCCTATTTTCAGACAAACCCACATATAGGGGCTCCTGTAGATGTTCCCTTCAAGCAATTCTGGAAGGAGCATGGCTGTTCTTTGGGAAGTTGCGAGTGTGAGAGAAGTATCGGGCGGTGGATTTTTTCCCGATGCCGTTCCATCCCAAAGGCCGTTGGTGCTCTCCATCTTGCAGATTTCGAGCCCACGACTTGGTGAGTTTTCATGGTTTTTCTCGCCCATGATGCCTATGAAACCATTTTCAGCTTCCTCAATCTCAGAAAAAAATCGTTGCTGGTTCCAAACCTATCACTTTTTTCGGGATACTTTGATCGCCTTTTTACCTTTGAGGTGACGGCATGGGCGATGCCACAATCTTGCGACTGGTTCGCTTGCTTCGCCTAGCTCGGATGACACGAGTAGCAAAGCTCCTCAGAGCTTTTCCGGAAGTGCTCATCATGATCAAAGGCTGGGTGAACTTGATTGACAATATTATAAGTATAATCATATAATGATGGGATATTCATCATAATAAAACCAGTATCACTCATTACATATATATTATATATATATATATATATCTGAGAATGGTGCATACCATGGCAATTTCTGCATACCACTATGACATACTATGGTTACTATGGACCAAAAAACCCTCAAAATGAAAATTTGAATACGCAACATGATGATTCACCAATGGATTTGGTATGATTTGGTACATGGTGAAGCCCTATGTTCAAACCCAGGTGTTCGGATGAAAAAAGGTATCATTGATCCCGTGGTTCCTTTGCTGCACCATGCTGCACCATGCTGCACCATGCTGCACCATGCTGCACCATGCTGCACCATGCTGCACCAGCCACAGCCATGTCATCCGCAGGCATTAGCGCAGCGGCGCGATCTGTCGTCTTCACCATTTGTTTGCTTATTTTGGTGCCGACCTCATCTGGTTGTTGGTTCGGAACATTTTTTATTTTCCCCAAAAGTTGGGATGACGATCCAATCTGACTTTCATATTTTTCAGAGGGGTAGTTGAAACCACCAACCAGTCATCAATTTGAAGCAGGAAAACCGATTTTAGCCGAGAGATGCTGACATGTTTTTTCTAAGGCACATGAAAAGTGGTAAACCCCACGATAAACCATATCCAGCTGGACCAGAACTGGTAAGTTTAACATAGTTTAACCATCCTCAAGTGGAGCTTTAGTGTTGGGTTTACCAGATGACAAGATAAATCAAGATGTTGTTTAACTGTTTGTTTTTGTACTTTCGCTGATGCATTTCCTGGGACGTTAAAGATCGAGTAATCAGATGTAATTGGTGTACAGTAACCTCTTTATTTTTTTCCCAACCGTGTCCCAGTGGCTGGCCATTCCAGTGGTGCTGCATGGTGCGTCAGGTGCTTTATGTGTTCGGCATCGCCTTCAAGCAGATTTGCGATGGATGCTGGGCATTGTTTTAGAGCTACGCACTTGCGGTACCTACCCAGCCTGGTAAACATACAAAAAGCTATTGAACATGGCCCATTCATAGTGAGTTTTCCCATGAAAAATAGGTGGATTTTCCATAGTTATGTTAGTTTACCAGAGGGTGATGGTATCCTAACGGATCCGAACGGTATCCTAATGCTGTCCTAATGGCACCTGATGGATGATTGTTTTAGGAAAAATTACCTGATTTTCTATGTGGCTCACGGCGTGTTGCAGTATTGGTTGCCTGCATACAGCCCGGTGCATTGGCATTTGTGCCGAGGTTTGCCAATAGGAACCACCAGCTTCAGCACGGTGCCAGAAGCCATGCTGACGCTCTTGATTCATGGAGTGTTTCTCGGTGAAGTAGACTCGACCAAGTCGGTCTCGACCATTATCAGCCAGAAAACCTGTCAGAATCATCAAGCTGGGAACCATTGGGTGTTTATCCAATTCTAGTCATTCATCATTGCAAGCTTCATGAAAATTCGCCATGTTGACTGGTGCCAATAGAGGAGTACCTCCTGAGGTTTATGGATGATATGGCGGAGTTGTGACGGCCTTACTGTCTGACAGTGGAAATGGTGAGTCCGCGTCAACGTCTGACTTCTGCACATGTTCTGGACATGGTTTCTGTTAGTTAATCAATCCAAAAGATGAAATGATGATCCAGAGTAGCTTCGCCACCGATAAGTTACAGGAGTTTCATTCATGCTTTCCAGATTTGTTGGGAGGGATTAATCAATGAGTTCTCTGAACAACCTCATATTTGACTGTAAAAAGATGTAACAAGGCTGGTTTCTTGCTGTCCCTCACTTCAAAAATGAAAGTCATCGGCAAGTCATCTCTGATTCTTAGGTCCCACAAAAAATGGGGAAGTTGAAGTCCACCTGGTGAAGTCCACCTGTTTTGACCGTTGAAGTCCACCTGTTTTGACCCATGTTTTTCCTGTTTGGTTCCCTCAGACCATTTGGGACCACTGGCAACACGTTGCGGCCACCAGGGTGGCGGCCATTCGGCAAGATAGCGCCGTCGCCTTCGGCACGTCCGGGGAGCCCAATTCCGAGGATTTCGGTGAGATTTCGGGTCGATGCTGCTGGTATTTTCCATCCATCCACTTACCATCTGGTTCTGACTCACATAGCCATGGAAAATGGATGAACATGGCCCATTTTTAGTAGGTAAACCAATGTAAACATATGTAAACCATCTAAAAATGGGCCATTTTCCATGGCTATGTTGAATAACCAGATGGTAAAACATCTTAAAACATCTTAAAACCCTTGGCAGATCTTGGCAAATCTTGTCAGGTTCATCATTTTTGTGCTGATTGCCAGTGCCTCAGGGGTGAAAAAAAGCGGCGGCTGAAGCACAGACACAAGGGAAACAGACCTGGCTGTACTGACTACCGGAGAAGCATAAGACACATTTAAAAACTATGCACCGCACCTTCCAAAATCCAATGTGGACCTAGGATTCGTGAGTTTCCAAGATGACTATCGGATTTTCAGGATTGCAAATGGATCAAATGGCTAATCGCTTCCCGTATTTCCCCCGTGAAATCCTTCCAACAAAACTGGCTGCGCCTGCGGTGCCATTCCAGGCATCCATCACGCTGATGAACATGTTGATCGGCAGCTTGGCTGATGAAAATTGTGTTGTGCATGTTGTGCATGTTGTGCATGTTGTGCACTAGCACTTGGGATACTTGGGTCAGGAAGAGCTTCAGGTTTCAAGATATGATGTATGACTAATACCCCAATTGCACTTGTTTTCCAGGAACACCATTTTATTACACTTAAGCCGACTTAAATTTAATCAAGTTCACTTTAAGTTGACTTAGGTGTACATTGTGTACATAAGTTCAAGTTCACTGATAACACCACCAGTGCACCTGCACCACCTGAGGAGTTCTCTGCGAGGTGGTCTCCATGGTGGGCCAATCAGAGCGTGAAGAGCTGTTGGTGGACTTTGTGAAGCGCGAACTGATGGATACCTGGACAAAGATTCCCACTAGAAGGACTATTAAACCACTATTAACCATCATTAAACACTATTAATTAACCATAGTTAACCATTGGAAGGGGAGGATCATCTCAGCTGTTTCCAGCAGCACTGCTGGTAGATTCGTAGATGGGATAAGCCACGGCCCATGGGGACGAAGCCGATCACCAGGGTGGCATGGCCGGCTGCCGCTGCCCTGGGTGGTTGGTGGCCAGCATGAGTGGTTGGAGTGGTTGGAGATTTGGGAAGGCGATGTGTCACTAAGGTCAAGAAGTAGAGTAAACATACAGTAAACATGAGTGGCTCAACTACCATGATGGTTACCATGACATACCATGACATGAGGGAAACAAAGCAACAGATCCTGAATATATACCATCTGGTTATTTAACATAGCCATGGAAAATCACCATGTTTAATAGGTAAACCCAGGTAAACCATCTATAAATGGTGCCATCTATACCATGGCTATGTTAAATAACCAGAGGGTAGCTGGTAGTATCATGGCTGATGGCTCTTTCGTGGTTTATCTGGTGCTTTTCTCGGGAGATACGGGCCGTTTTTGGATCCGGGTCCGACCAGGATCCAGTGGGATGAGTTCATCCGTTGAACCATTGGCAGCTGCCAATAAATAGCCAACAGAAAGATTATTATTTTATATACATACATAATAATAAATAAATATATATATATATTGTAACTATTGTCACTATTGTTTCATTCATTGAATGGAGAGTTGATGGATGTTCATAGATGTTCATTAATAGGCTTTTCTTCCGCCAGTTGAGTGTTCTTTTGGGTAGCCTTCATTTCTGCGCAGATGCCCTTTGAGTCAGGGCGCCCTGAAGGGCTGCAGACACGACAGGGGCGTTCATGATACTCTCAGCGGATTGACATGTCATGTTGGTGAGGTAGATTGCATGACTTATAATTGGATTTGATATAGTCTGGCATAGTCTGGTCATAATCATGGTACTATCTGATCTTGGGTAGCTGAAATATTTGTTAATCGAGAAACCCGATGTCAAATAGTGAAACATGGATTTGTGCGGCCAAGTCTCGCCTCAACGGCTGACCAAAAACATCCATGTGTTGAGGACATTATTATTGAAGCTGACGAGGCATGGGCGATTCAGGGTCCGTTTGTGATGCCCACTTGGCCACTTGTTGGGGGTGACGCCACCCAGCAAAGCCGATATGCTAAGAGGAGCATTTCAAGGTGTGATTTTTTGGAAGTGGGCACCGCGTGTACTTTCTGGTAAATTCATATGCCTAGATATGGAGTCCCATGGGTTTTGCTTCGAAGATTCTCAACAAATGGCAGGTTTTGCATACCCGTGTTGATCAACTGGTGCGTAGGTAGTTGATGCTGCGATTGAGCTTTCAGCAACTGCAGGACGGTGATGGGCTGATGTCACATCAAGAATTCTTGAGGAGCCTTGGTCCAGTGCTTGTGACCAAACGTCCTTGAAGATCTTGAAGGGTCGCCAGCTCTTCCCCGTTCAGCCCATTTGCACTTCTGCTGGTTTCGCAAACTCATGATCCCTTCCTGGTAATATTAAACATCTCCCAGAGCCCTTGGTTTAGTGTTGCATCTATACAGCCTATACAATATATGATCGTTTTTCTTTTGGGGGGTCCATATCAACACGAGGGAATTCTACAGGGGCCTGGGGCATTGGAGAGATGAGTTTGTTAAATTGGCCAAGTAGCACCATAGTGCCATGGAAACAGCTGGGACCTAAGGATTTTGGAAAGTCCTGAAGGGCTTCGTGCGTTAGAAACAGCAGCTGGGCACAGGATCAGATCGCCTTTGTGCATCCGTGATGGCTTCATTCTTCATGTAGGTTTTTTTCTGTGTTTCGGGCATTGTCATGTAAATGATCCTGGAGCATGGAATGATCCAAGCTCATCCAAGCTCTTTATCAATCCCTGCAGCTTCGATGATCGGAATGCAAGGGGCTAAGGCCTTCAGCAAGACATAGCGATGTTTCTTGAGGTCGGAGTCGATCCAGTGGGTCTCATTGACTATGCCGATACCATTTTCGCGCAGGCGAGGGACCAAGATGATCCAAGATGTGCGTATACTGCAGATGTTGTAGTACACTGTGTATTTTGACTAATTTTGAGATATTCTAACCTGGAACCTGAAACATATATAAAAATATATAAAAATATTATATGATTTTCCTATTCGATACTTGCCATGTTGTATTTCGATTGCACCATTTTCATGTTTGGATGAAGTGATTTGCCAGGTGCACCTGCCAGGGCTAAAGGGGTGTTTACCACGAAGCAATTGTTGGCCGTGGCTTTTCATAAGCGTCATGCTAATGGTTAGTACAATACCAAATGGATCCAATTGCTACCTAAAACATATATATATATATTTTTAGGAGTTGTGAAATTCTGCGAGTGGGGCTGGTTGATTTATGTTGATTTTATGGGCTCCACATTATCGCCCGTGCTTCATCATCCTTAGTCGTTCTCCACCGTGCAGGACGATGGTGACGTTGGCGAGACCGTTTTGCCGCTTGGAAAACCATGCAGAAAACCATCCCAGAAAGACCGCGACGAAAGAAACATGGATCAAATGTTTATCCCGGTGAATGTTCAGATATCCATAAACATTATGATATAACATTAATAACATCATACATATAATATATATAGGTAGCCCTAAACATCATGTCCTGTCATATGATTTCACCATATACTTTCACCTAGAAAAAACTCCACAGTCACCCTGGTATTTCCCCATGGTTTCGCCGGCAGTGGCCCCCTTTTTTTCGCCTCGGCGTTGAGGTTTTCTCACTTCATGAGTGAGATCCTGCAGCTGCGGGGCTCCAACACGGCCACGGTGAAGGCGTCTCACATCGTTTTACCATGGCTTTGTCATGGGAATTCGGGTTTTGTTTAATGGAATGAACATGGGAGATATGATATGGGCAATCTAAGATATATATTTATATATTCTAGGTGGATTCTGGATTTGCGGTTTGTCGATAATTTATGATGATTTGGCGTGTTTTCCCAATGGATCACAATCGAAAGTTTACTACGTATTGGGGAATCTATAGCGAATATTTTTTGGGGCTTCCTTGAGCAAATCCAAGTCAAGCAGAAAACAATAGATCTTCAAGCGGACCGATGCCGAATCAAGTGTAGATTCCAGCGCAAGATTGGACATGATATATATATATATTGCAATTGCGCCATCCTCACAGGCACAGACGCTGGCCTCTTCCGGCAGCATTTGAGAGCTCAGGAGACAAAAAGGTGATTGCAGTCTGAGGTGCCCTTAGCCCCTCCAGCTAGATCATTTGCAGCCATAAGCTCCTCGTGCCTTGGGCTTTGATCCGCTTGCACGGTAGCGGAGCCGGCCTTGCGCTGGCTTGCGAGAAACGAATCCAGGGACCTAGAAGCCTCTGGCCGCGAAAGGCCGCTGGAGGAAGAATGGATCGAGGCTCAAAAAGAGTTGAGAGAACAAAGGAAGGTGTACCAGTATGGGATGGTGATGCATCGACGTTTCAGGAATACTCGGAATGGGCACTTTTGTGGGAACAGTCCATCCAGTACCAGAAACGATACTTGTGCGCCCCCAGACTGATCAATGAACTTGGCGGCACGGCGAGACGCCTGGTGACCGGGAAGCGGCCCGAGTGGGTATCCTTCAACGGAGGGGTTCAGAAGTTGTTGGAGCACTTACGTGACCATCTGGGGTTGCCCCAGATGCCTGAGGCTGCGGAGTTCCTCACCAGGTACTTCAAGCAGACGAGACGCCGCAAAGGCGAGACGATCAACGAGTACATCACCCGCAAGACGGAGGCCTACTCCAGAGCCCGACAAGCTCTGGATCGGGTGCAGAAGTCTTTGGGACAAGCTCATCAGAGCAACAGCTGGAGTGGCAGAGGCCTTGGCTCCTCCACAAGGGCAACGCCGAGTGGGATGGACCCATGGCAGGCTCGAGGACAAGACCCTTGGAGCCGAAGTCAGAGAGACGAGAGTCGAACAAGCGATTCTGCTCCAGCAGGATCAACTTCAGCACCAGCAGAAGGAGATGACAATGACGTAGACGGCCCTGGTGAGGCCGATGATGAGCAAGAGACACAGCACTCCTATGGCCCCCGACCGTGGACATGGTGGGATTCCAACTGGAACTATGACTCCTGGGAGTATGGATGGCCGACATCCTACCATGGTTCCGAGGAGCAAGCCTGGCTCCTCGAAGCCCCTGAGCTGCTACCTGAGTATGTCCAGGGATGGTACCTGCTCTATGACTCAGGTCTGGAGACCAATGAGAAGAACATGATCATTGCTGCCCTGAAGGGCAACTTCAACCTGTCCAATGTGGCCCAGGAACTGCGAAACCAATGGTCTGATGAAGACCTCCGTCGGCGTGACCAGAGCAGCCGCTCGTCAGGGTTCTTGGCCGATGGTGATGGGGAACTATCAGCTGGAGAAGATGAAGGTGAAGCTTGGATGATGGATGAGCAGCTTTCAGAAGAAGGCCAAGCTCTGGTGTCCCAGGCCCAGCATGAGATCATGGAAGCACAGGCTCAGATCGATCAAGGACGTCGAACACTGCGACAGGCCAGAGCCCGTCAGCACCAGGTTCGAATGTCTCGCAGATACTACAAGACAAGCTATCACATGAGCCAGCCTGACCGGCAGGGTCGCAACCATACCCCTGACACATGTTTGAAGTGTGGAGGCCGTCACAAGACGGCAGACTGCCTGAAGAAGTCCCCAGGAGCCAACAATGTGGATCAGCCTGAAGCTGCCCCTTTTGTATGCTTCAGCGACATGGATGGCTCTCCAGAATCTGCTATGACACTGGAGTCGGGCATCACCACTCGTGATGCTGTGATGCAAGGTAAGGCCGTGATTGACGGTGGTGCCACCAAGACCTTGGGATCAGTGACCGCGCTCCAGTACATCATGGACCTGAACAAGGCCAAGGTGGGTGACACCGGCATCAACGATCTGGATCTGAGTGACCGACCTGTGTTTGGTTTTGGCAACAGCAGCCGTGACCAGTGCATCTCAACGGCCAAGCTGTCAATCCAGGCCGACCAGAAACCTGGCAATTTGAAGATTCATGCACTGGATCGTGGCGAGGGTCCAGTCTTGTTTTCCATCGAGGCTTTGAGATCCTTAGGAGCGGTGATTGATTTTGCTGAGGATCTTGTGGTTTTTCGTTCTTTGTGTGATGATAAGATTATCAAACTTGAAAGATCAAACACGGGACACCAGCTGCTGCCTCTCACCAATGACTGGTATGAGCGCGCTCTCAAGACTCAGTCACCAGTGCCGAGTCTGCGCTCTTTTGTTGCCGATTGCTAGGGACAACTCCTTTCTTGCAGCGAGACTGGCACTGTAAGAAAGGTAGAGTCAAGTTTTTCCAGTCAAAGCACCAGTGCATGTGTAGCCAGTAGTTCTGAGTCACACTTGAATCCGAGTCCACAACAGGCAGGTGCAGGTCTAGCCATGGTAGGTCAGCAGTTCGGTAGCCATGCGAGTAGTCACAGTTCTTCTATGACATCCTTATCCAGAACACCAACAACCACAGGCAGCCGTTCAGAGAACTCGAGAGACGCCTCTAGCAGCCCTAGCTTGGTAGACTCGACATCGACCGATGCCCCGCATGAATCGTGCCGAGATGGTGGCCGAGCTGGCGGAGTACGGGGTGATGGCACCGAAGGAATGGACCATCCACGAGTTGGAGTACCACCTTCACGAGCACCGCGCCCAAGAGGGCATCCAAGTGAAGAAGGGCAAGAGTCAGACCTCCCTCCGAGAGCATATGACAGCCCTGAATGTGGCAGGCCGCAAGAAGCAGGACCTGCAAGATCATTTGGTCCAGCACCTGAAGATGCCTCCAATGCCAAATGCCACCATATGGACCTGAAGCGAGCGGCCATCACCAAGATCTACCAGATCTCCGAGTGCCACCCAATGGGCCCAGTGGGTTTCGGGAAGCACAGCTCCCTGACATACCAGGAGGTAGCCCAACAGCACCCAGGCTACTGCGACTGGGTCACGAAGACAGCGATGGAGGGCGACAGTTGCCTTCTCCTCCAACGCCTGGCCACATGGTTGGAGCAGAGGACTGTGGCGAATCCCGTCAAGGTGGTCAGTCCAGGCCCCAAGAACAAGAAGGTCACAACCGAGGCCACCAGCAGTGTGGAGACACAGACTCTGCAGATGCTGGCATCCATGGGTCAGATGCTGAACCAGTTGAAAGGAGAAGTGGACAGCCTGAAGGAGGAACGTCCTCGCAAGGCACCGGCTGTCTCCATGGATGCGGAGTCCCTCGGCAGCTTCGAACTACATCCAGCACCCTGAGTTCTGAGAGTCCTGAGGCTGGCAGTTTCGAGCCTGAGAGTGGCCCTATGAAGCAACTCCCCGAGAGCACCAGTAGGTTTTTGACTAGTTGTGTTGATGGCATGCTTCCCAGTGCACTCTCCTCCCTTGCGTCCAGTGGTAGATTAGAACTGTTGGAAATTGCTTGCTCTGAGACAAGCATTCTCACTGCTGAAATGCGAAGACTGACTGGCCGAGAGGATGCAGCAGAGCGCCTCTCCCTGTGGAATGGATGTGATCTGAGCACGAATGAGGGAATACGGAAGGCTGTTCAGGTGATTGACCTCAAAAGACCCCGAAATGTTTGGCTTTCTCCGGTTTGTGGACCATACTCACTGATGCAGAATGCTAACCAGAGGACCCCTGAACAGGTGGAAGCTTTGCAGGAGAAGCGTAGGCATGCGTTGAAACAATATGTTGGATGTTGTATCATTTACTCCTATGCTGTGCGAGCTGGATGTCATGCCACGTGGGAATGGTCTCAAAGTTGTTTGGGTTGGAGACTCCCCATTATCAAGGCCCTTCAGGAACGTCATCAACCCCTGTTTGCTGTGGTTCGTGGATGTCAAGTGAACTTGAGAAATGACCAGGGTGATTTCATTTCTAAGGGCTGGAAACTGATGACCACCAACAGAGCTTTGGCCGAAACCATGGAATTGCCGTGTTCATGCCCCAAAAATACGGTCCATGTGAGTTGTGAGGGTTCCCTGACCAATAAGACGGCTTTTTACACCAAAGAGTTTGGAAGGAGAGCTTGTCGCATGATGTTGCAGGGTTACACCAAAGAACATGTCATGATGGGGATTCAGGGTCAACACCTCCAACATGGGACTTTTGGGGAAGGTTCGGTTTGTGAATGTGATCTGGGAAGTAACCACCAAGCGGGGTTGTCATGCGGGAGTTGCCACCACCAACAGGTTTCCAAAATGGTCGAAGGGAAAGTTTTGGCGGCAGGTGGTGAACCACCTGCACCCCCAATGGATGGTGCCATGGTTCCTCATGACCCCCCACAAGAAGTCAGGGAACACCAACTGAGTAAGGAAGAAATTCACCGGAAGTTGTACCTCCTTCATGCGTCCACGGGACATGGCCCAGTGAGACACCTGATAAGAATCCTCCAACAACAACGTGTGTCCCCTGAAATCCTTGCTGAAGCCCGGAAATTCCAGTGTTCTGTGTGCCATGAACGTTCACAGCCGCAGCCGAGACCTCTTGCCAGCCTGGAACCATTACCACCAAAATGGGAAACGGTTTCTGTTGATTTGGGACACTGGGAACATCCCCAAACTGGTGCTTCTGTTCAGTTTTTGATGGTGATTGATGAGGGTTCCCGATTTAGGGTTGGTCGTGTTTTGTTGGAAGGGTCTGGAAAACTTCATGCCCCCGCCACCAAAATCCTTCAGGGTTTCCGTGATTGCTGGGTTCAATATTTTGGTTTTCCGGGTACCTTGAGGCTGGATGCTGATGGTAGTTTCCGTAGTCATGCTGTTGAGGAGTTCTGTGATAGGAACAAAATCTACTTGGACATGATCCCCGGGGAAGCTCATTGGCGAATTGGGGTGTGTGAACAAGCCATAAGAGGGGTGAAACAAGTCATGCAAAAATTGGTCGAAGATGATCCCGAAATTTCCCCCCAAGAAGCCCTGGCGGAGGCGACCAGAGTGTTCAACTGTAGGGAGATGGTTCGTGGTTATTCCCCCATTCAACATGCTCTTGGTAGGGCCCCTGACCATGCTGGTAGGCTGTTTCCGGTTAGTGATCTGTCCTCACCTGACTTGTTAGTTGAACAACCCACCGGGGAGATGGCACGGAATCTGCAACGAATGTATCAGGCTGAAAAGGCTTTTTTGGAATGGACTAATCACCAAAGGTTGTTGCGAGCTGAAAACTCACGTAGCCGTAACTATCCCAAAGTGGAACCGGGTGATCTTGTGTACATGTGGCGAAAACAAGTCAGTGGTAGCAAGGGCTCGAAGACAGGTCGGTTTGTAGGTCCAGCTAGGGTCTTAGCGTTAGAGCGTCGCCAGTCAGCGGATGGCACTCTCTTACAATCCAAGACTGTTTGGTGCGTTCGAGGACGCCGACTTGTGAAGTGTAGTTTGGAACAACTGCGACTGGCCTCAGAAAAGGAGACCATTCTCTCCGAACTGGCCGCAGGGGAATACTCAGATTGGGATTTTCATCGAGTGGCCAAAGAACTCGGTGGTAACGAGTTTGAGGACATCTCAGAGGAGGTTCCCTCTCAAGAGGAGTGGCATCGAGCACAAGACCCACAACAGGAGTGGCAGCCCACTCACCGTTGTCGTGGGAAGAGATCGGCTCCACTGCAAACAAGAGAACAGCAACCAATGGAGCTGGATGGACCAAGTTTTCCGGAGGATCCTCCAGACTCTGACCTACCACCACGTTTTTCAACAGGTGGGTCGTCCAGTAGCAGACCCTGCAGATCTCGCTCTCGTGGGCGAACTGGTCACAAAGATGACTCCATGGGACTGATTGCAGAGCCTGCCTGGTTTGAGCAACAACATGTACAAGAACAGTTTCCAGAGTCTCCATCGAGCTTCTGGGCAGACCAAACCGCCGCAGTTACAGTGGAGATCCCGATGCCAGAGACCAGGTCTAGCAGTGAGCGAGCTCTACAAGATCTCACCTCATATCTGGCACAGAGCATCAAGAAGCGAGCAGCCGTAGAAATTCGGGAAAAATATCTGACAGAAGAAGAGCGGAAGATGTTCAGATCCGCAAAGGCCGTGGAAGTGAACAATTTTCTGGCAGCAAAGGCTTTTGAAGCTCTTCCTCCTGGACTCAAGCCTGATCGCAGCAAAGCGGTCCACATGCGTTGGATACTGACCTGGAAATACAAGGAAGATGGCACCAGAAAACCAAAGGCTCGATGTGTGCTGCTGGGGTATCAAGACCCGAGTTATGAGCACCGGGCGACTACCTCGCCCACAACCACCAGGCAAACCCGCCAACTCCAATTACTGATTTCTGCAGGAAAAGGGTTCAAAATGCGGAAGGGTGATGTGACAGGAGCTTTCTGGCAAAGCCGACCATATCCTGATGATTTGCTCTGCGTTCCCTGTCCAGAGATCTGCGAAGGAATGGGTTTGGCTGAGGGCTCACTGATCAAGGTCAGAAAAGCCTGCTACGGCCTGGTGGACGCACCCCTTGAGTGGTACAGATCAGTATGTACATACCTGCAGTCCTTAGGTTTCTATAGATGCTGGTCCGATCCATGCTGCTGGATCCTCAAAGAGGGTTCTGAGATCGTAGGCATCATTTCTGCACATGTCGATGACTTCCTGTTTAGTGGGAATGAGAACAGTAGACTGTGGATGTCAGCACTCCAATCCATTCAGAAGGAATATAAATGGGGTGACTGGGAATCTGATCGGTTTGTACAGTGTGGGGTAACCATCGAACAGCATGCCGATTTTACTTTTTCCTTGTCTCAAGAAAAGTATGTGGAGGAAATTAAACACATCAACTTGAGGGCCTTTCGAAGGAAGGACCGTAAAAGTCCAACCGATGAGACAGAAAAGTCTCAGCTGAGAGCGCTGCTAGGTGCTTTGTCATGGCATGCGCAACAGGTGGCTCCACATTTTTCCGCCGAAATAGGAATGCTGTTGTCAGAAGTGAACAGAAGCACTATAGATACAATCTATCGTGCCAATCACCTGCTGGACTTGGCAAAGAACCAAAAGAGCCACAAGCTTCTGATCCCAAAGGTAGATGTACAGTCCCTAGTCCTAGTTGCGTGGGTCGACGCGGGGAGTCAAAACAGAGCGGATGGTTCAAGCACTCAGGGTATCCTCATAGGTGCTTCAGAGAAAAACCTCTTGAGTGGAGCTTGCGCACCTGTAGTGATGATAGCATGGCACTCACAAAAGATAGACCGAATTTGTAGGAGTCCTGGTGCAGCCGAAGCTGCTGCTGCTGTAAATGTGGAGGATTGTTTATACTACTCCAGGTTCCAGTTGAGTGAGATGTTAAATAATCCTATTGATGTGCGAAAACATGATGAAGTGGTGAACATGATCCCTGGTGCACTAGTGTCAGACTCTCGAAACGTATACGATAAACTCCAAACTGAAGTGTTGCTGATCCGAGGGGCAGAGAAACGAACTGACATCAGCTTGCTGTCATTAAAGGAGGCTCAAGAGCGCAACCTTGTTGATGTGAGATGGGTTCACAGCGAAGCCCAGTTAGCCAATGGGCTGACAAAAGGCGGTGAATTCAAACAGCTGTCCTTGTTTTATGACATGCAATGTCGCTGGCGCGTGGTGGAAGACCCTGATCGCAACTCAGCGCGGAAGCGAAAAGCCCTTGGACTACATCCTCTGGAAAATAGCCAAAGCACTAATTCAAAAGACCCTCCAGGGTGATGACTTGTCTCCTGCCTTTTTGTGGTTTTTGCCATTTTGGCAGAAAATTCAAGTGTGACTAAAACAGTTACATAGGGGAGCCGGGACGGATGCAATTGCGCCATCCTCACAGGCACAGACGCTGGCCTCTTCCGGCAGCATTTGAGAGCTCAGGAGACAAAAAGGTGATTGCAGTCTGAGGTGCCCTTAGCCCCTCCAGCTAGATCATTTGCAGCCATAAGCTCCTCGTGCCTTGGGCTTTGATCCGCTTGCATATATTATATATAATCGTCAGCCATCAACTAACCAAGAAATGGAAACCAAGATTGAGGATTCTGTATGATTCACGTTGTGTGGGGGTATTCCAGCAGCTGGCGCATTCGCCAGGATCTCATCTCTATGAGAAAGTTTGTTGAGAAGATGAACAAGGAGTTTTCGTTGGATGCCGACCGCCGGACCGCTTCATTCTGAGACAGATGGAGCTTTCCTAAGATATGGGGTACCCCCTAAATCATCCAAAATTAGACCAGGTGTTCAGCTTGTGTAGGAATCTGCATGAATGTTAGTGCAATGTATTTTGCAGCATCACTCCAACATCAAGGACGGCAAAGTGACTCAAATGCAGAGAAGACGTTGTCGAAATGGTGGCTCCCATGGTCTCTCCACTTTCGGTATTGTCCCGATAAATAATGATTATTCTAAGATTCTATGAATAAAGATGATTATCATCGATTATCCCATTTATAGATCTACATCATCTACATGGGATAATAATCTATTATCTATATATAAATAGTATAAATACATCATTATTCCATTTAATTTCATAAGTATTGATCATGATCATTGTAATCTCACTTATTGTCCTATCATTATGCCATTTATAGATAGTAGATTATGATGATTATGGTTATAGTATGTTATAAGTTATAGTGCTATGATTATCCCAAAGCTCATACCATAAAGGCCTCGTTCTAGAAGTCGTCACAGCCTAAAACCATCGTTTTCGCCACACGGGATTTATCCTACGGGTACTCCATTGGGTACTCCAAGTAGCCCCTGGCACGTGGGTTTCCAGAACATCCCAAGGAAATAGTGGAACATACAGGAAAATCCTGGGTTTTATATATGGGAAACTTTTTGGGACAATATTTCTGCAGGACTCCAGGAGAATCATCGAACTAAACTACCAAGTCCATTGCCACATTGAATTGCTGGAGGAAAGTTGTAACCAATGATTTCAAGTTGTCAAGATTGGACTTGATGGCTGTGGGACGAACGCACCGTGTTCTTTTCGAGGTCAGAACCAAGCCGCCCAAAAGCCGTTGCACGTTTTCTCAGTCGTTTCCCAGGCTTTTGATGCTTTTGATCTATGCAAGTTTCGTGTTTCAGGAGGTTCGGAAGGACCTGAACCAAGTGAATCAGCATGTTCTACAGATTGCAGAGGTTGTCAAGGACGTGCTCGGGGTGGACCTTTGGATGGGAAACCCCTCTAAAGATCAGCGGAGCCATCAGAAGACTGGAATTCTGAAGGCCTAGGACCTGATTCGTATTGATTCATCGGCGATTTATTCATCAATTCTTTGGATTCCGAACTGATTTTCCAGACACATCTCCAAATTCCAAATCAGAATCGCACAGTTTCAAAAAAACACACCACAAAACTACGGATTCCACATTTTTAGAATTTTTAGATATGTTTTTTTTTTTAATGCGGGATCCCAAGGTGCATGGGTTTCAATACTGAATCATGGTCATCCATGACTTGGATGATTTGGGGGTACCTCTGTTTATAGGAAACCTCCATAAATCAATATATATATATATATATAGTAATATATGGTGTTAGTCAATCATCAATAATTAATTATCATACCACTATCATCAACCACCATTACCATTTTATAGTATTACCATTTATAATAACCATCATCATTAACCACTATCAATCATTGATTATTTTAAATACCCTCTGGGAAACTAACGTAGCTATGGAAAATCACCATTATTAGTGGGAAAATCCACTATAAATGGCCATTTTCAATAGCTATGTTAGTCATTACCAGAGGGTACTCCCATAGAACCATGACCATTCTCCAGGAGATTCGAAGCCCAGCAGCCTTCGGAACGGTGCTGCAGACTCGAACGGTGACGCCCGAGGCCGAGGCGCCCGAGCCCGCGCGGCTTTCCGCGGCGCAGATCGCGGCGATGGCGAAGCCAACGCTGGAGATGGCGTCGCCTGGCCATTCGAAAGCCCTGTGCTTGGGTTGACCTCTGGAAAACTAGCAGTTTGCTATTGAAAAGCCATAGAAATAGTTCTTTAACCCATTAAAATGTTGATTTTACATCGTCATGTTAACCGGAGGGTATTGATGCTTAATTATGATGATAAATAGACATTAATAAACAATTGGAGAGACAGCGAGAAACAAGAATCAATGGTTGGATGTAATCATTCAACAATAGACCAATCATGAGTACACCATCCCCAATGGTTGGATATGGTTGGATTTTTACACGTTCATAAAGAAAAAATAGACATTGATAGTGGACAACCCACACATAGACATTGATAAACCATCCCCAAGATATGGGTATGGATCAATACCTATTAATACCATTTTTAATGGGATGAACATCCATTTACCAGCTATTTTGATGTTCACCAGGGGTACAAGGTTTTGACACACTGCCATATAATATAAAGCAACTTGATGATGTAAAATGACTCCAAATGCTTGGTGAATGGGATGGCTTTTAAAGGCCTACGACATTTAATAGGGTTTATACGTGGGTTTTACGAACCAACACACACACACATGTATATTTGTGTATAATATACTGTATATATATATATATACATTCATTATTATATATTATATGCATATAATATTGAAATATATTGAAGATGATCATCATCCATTGTGGGAATCCCACTCTCAACCAACCAGAAAGGGATGACGGAGGGTTTGGTTTAACATGGCTGGAAAATGCTGGAAAATCTTAGGTTTTTGATGGGAAAATACGGGAGAATCATCGATATGTGATTGCCCATGTGATTGCCCATTGCCTTGTTTACCCTCTGGTAAACTAACATAGCTATTGAACATGGCCATTTATAGTGGATTTTCCCATTAAAAATGGTGATTTTCCATAGCTATGTTAGTTTACCAGAGGGTAATCACTGGGGGAATGGATCGTAAATTTCGACCCAGGCAACCACAGCTTTTAAGACTCATCCCCAACAGGTTGTTGGGGCCTGGGGGACTGATGAGCGCGGATGGGGCGGCGGATGGGGGCGGATGGGGGCGGATGGGGCAGGTTTCCAATGGACATGAAATGGACATTTTGGATATTGCAACGGGCCTTTTCCTGTTTCGCATATGCGGTTTTCTCATGCCTGCGAAGATGAGAAAAAAGAGGGTGCAAAGACAGGCGCTTTCAAAAATTACTTGTCTTCACGTCATTGACCATGGCTTTCTCTCAGAGCATTTCAAGGGCTGTCAAGCCATGAATGTCAGGAAACCATTCCCACTTTGATGCTGTAAGGTCCATGGCGGGCGAAAAGCAGCGGGATGTGTCTCCCGTGCCCCTGCGCGCCCATATGCAAGCGAATCCAGCATTCCGAAAAACCACACCGCCCGCGGCCCTAGGGAACAGGATTTGATGGGGTCGATTCCGAAAAGTGCCCAAGCCTGAGCCTTTTTGGGGCAGCTCTGGTTCCATCCGCCTCAGGAATTACCATTCTCAAAGGGCTCAAGCTCAAAATGTTGGACACGAAGGTGCCATACCAGCCATGCCAGTGCATGCCAGATCTGATCTGAGTGATTCGCATAGCTCTGCAGTAAGCTCCGTTGTCACCATCTATGCAGGTGCCCAAACCCACGCGGGCAGCAAGAGATTTCCAGAATTGGACGGCAGCCTGCCGCAAAAATTGCAAGAAATGCAGGACCACTCAGTATCCATGTGCATTCCATGTGCTTTGGCAGATTCAAATTCAAGTCCTGAGATTGGTCTGAAACTGATTGATCATCAGGACATCCTCGGCGAGCTCATGGCGGGCCCTTATGCAGGCCAAGATAGGGGACTAGTTGCAATCTTCATAGCCGCAACTGGCTGTAACATATCAATTTGATTCAACTTGCCTAATGATTTTCCATTGTGTAGAATCACATGGCATAGAGGTATAGTATGGAAACGCCTCTGCACATGACTGCAGCATACGTCCACACTTAATTTTGTCGATACACCTACATCATCTACATCACAAACACATACATAAAATAATACTAATATGATTTAATATGTATATGTACGATTATGTACGCATATATATATATGTTTATAATTGTATTTATTTTACAATCATATATACGTATATAGCACATATATTAATATCAGTACATGGCACAATCTATATATGTTATCAATAAGACACCCTCGCCACCGTCCAGTCGGCCCCCGCGTCGAAGACCGCAACGAAAACGGGGCCGGCCCGCCTTTCGGCGGCCCGGGGGAGGTGCCTTGGCGTATCGAAGGTTTAGTGAATCCCGGATGTTTTCATTGGTTTGTGGGTAAAACTTACGGTAAAACAATCATCCCCCAGTCGGCATTTTTATAGGTATAATGGTATATATAAACCATTCCCAGTTGGTGGTTTAGTATTGTTTTAGCCACATTATTGTAAAATATTGTAAATAGTATGAATCTAGATCTTAGAAATGGCAAGTTAGTGAACTAATTGAGTGAACAGACAATTTCCTCCGGCAATGAAACATGATTTGCTGGACAAATCATCCATTCAGTTCGGTGTTTTTCCCAACGACAAAGCTGCATGGCTAGGCCATCCCTCCACTGTCTCAAGCCCCAGGACGGAATGCAGAAATTGCGAAGAGCTGGTCGAGGCCATAGCTGTTGAAAGCCTTGAATGAAAGGTAATCCCATGCCCCGTTCAATTCATACGTATGACATTTTAACATCCCCTAGAAGTCGATGCTTTGGTAGATTTACGCATATTTGGGACCATAATTGCACTGGGGGTGTTTGGGAGTTAATAGGGGGATTGGAGTAACTTGAGAAGATCAAGTTTGCTGGTGAATGGTTCAATTGACAACAGAACTAATTTGTGGTCAATATTGTATGTATTAGTCGTCATCTACCATTCCAAAATAGTCCAAAAGCATACTGCATACAATGAAAAATTCCCCAAACAACCGGACAGCCTTCCGTGCAAGGCGATCGAGGGAGTCCGAGACAGGCCTGCGCTGCCCCACCCCATCACTTGTATCAATATGAATCAGCATGTGTGAATTTTGCACCCCACTTTCAGCATATAGGGTGCATATATATATACACAGATAGATGTAACTCCATTTCTAATTCAAACATTTTTTCAACATATGTTCATACGTGTTCATACGTGTTCATACGTGTTCATACGTGTTCACACGTGTTCACACGTGTTCATACGTGTTCATACGTGTTCATACGTGTTCATACGTGTTCATACGTGTTCATACGTGTTCATACATACACACATGCATGCATGCATGCATGCATGCATGCATGCATCCATCCCTCCCTCCCTCCCTCCCTCCCTCCATCCATCCATCCATCCATCCATCCATCCATCCATCATACATACAATACATTACAATACATTACAATACATTACATTACATTAAATTACATTACATATTTCATTACATACGTACATGCACAAATTACATTACATTCCATTCCATTCCATTCCATTCCATTACATTACATTACATTGCAGACAGACTGACAGACATACATCATATGTTTCTGACGATTCCCTGCACCTTAACCCTCCCCCAATCCCCTTCCAGGAGCAGCGGATCTCCGATCCGCGAGATCCGAGGGGCCGTAGCAATGGGCCGCACGGGGTGCCCGTGGTGCAGGGGCGACCAGTGCCCACCGAGGATCACCTGGGAGGTTTGGGCACGGTTTTTCCATGATGTTCCATGGTTTTTTCCATGAAATCAGAGGGGTGTCCTATGAATTTTCCCGAAAAAAACATCCCATTGAGAGTTTTGGAAGAGATGATTTGTTGGAACCAATTTTGTTTGGGTGATATTTGTTTCTTGGAAGTGGTTGAAGAGATTTTTTGTACAGGAATCCCCCCTGTTTGGCGGTAAAAAACGTGCAGAAAAACACGTGGTTTCCCATAGATTTTTCCACAAATCGATGCATTTTTCAATGCATCAATGGTTGTGTCAGCTGGTGACTGGAGAGCTTTGAGCATGAAGATTCATCAAGATTTCATGTCATTCCATGGTCGTGGATCTCGATGGACCTATTCTCTCGGGTGAGTCATGAGCTGCCACTTGCGGGTTGCAGTTGGGCTTATGAACGGGTAAAAAGGTCCAAATTATATGATATTACGCCAGTCATTTGTTCTGGTTGTGGCAGTTTCATTTTTGGCTCCCTCCAAGCCAGTCTCACAATCAATTCGAGCTGGCCTAGACTGGTCATGCTTATATGATATTTATATGGTAATCATCTCAATAAGGGATATACAAAATTCTTATCAGTTATGGTATATTGGGCTGCATCCAATGATCTTATCATTAATTAGGAAAAACAATCATAAACCACCAGTTGGGAATGGTTTATACATGTTTATACCACCTGTTATGGTATGTTATGGTGATGACTGGGGGATGGTTTGTTATTGTGTTGCCCACCTTAATGGGGTATACCCTCCATTGTTGATTCTACATCCCACAGCCGCGGCCAGGAAATCCCACGTGGCCGCATGGTCCAAGCGACACGGCTCCAGAGAAGACTTTCCCACACCTCCGACCCGCAAGACGAAATTGAGCGCCTCGGCGAAATGAGAAATTGAGAAACCTCAAGAAATAAGACACTGGATACTGGGGTATACTATTGGTATACTGGGCTTATGAATGATTAACATATTATAACATATTATAACGTGTTATGAATATATGGAAGGTTTTTTGCGGAAGTGTATGGGTTTTGAAGGCTTGGAGTTTTTTTTGCAATATCCAGTCGTGTTGGTTTAGTTTTACGTATCTTTGCTTTTACATGTCATCAAAAAGTATACGGAACACCTGCATGCTTTGGATTCTGTTGTTTGTGCTGGCATGATCTAGTCTGCTGTGACCTTTTTTTGATACTGTGGGCCCAAACTTTTTGCAAATCAACCCTGAGAGCCTGTCAGTAGCATCCAAGGGTGTGATCCCGCTCGGAAACCTGTCACTGGGCAAGTGAACAGCGTGGTTAACCACCTCAAGGAGAGGTGAGAGATTGCACATATTAGTTCACATATTTTGGATGGAACATATCTGGGCGATTTTCACACTTGGAAGGTTGACTCCCCCAAAAATTGGTTGTATCATTCTTGCTTCTCCCACTTCTATGCTGGGTTTTCCTCAGGGGCGCAGCAGGGGAATGCGGTGATTTCGCGCGCGCAGTTTGAACGTTTCGACGTTTCACAGATCACCGGACACCCGTGGAACCGGTGGAACCGGGTCTTTTCGGCTGGACTTTTTTTCGGCTGGTCTGGGAATTGCCATTTTTACAATGTGGTACCCCCCAGTTATAAGTTAGTTTATAACCCCCATCAACTACAGATATATCTACCATAAGTCCCACTTATTGTAGTTATAAACCAACTTAGCTATCTATGGGGCACCACTATGTATGGCATGTTTATGGCTTTTGTGGAGTTAATCCCCACAATGCTGCATATTCATCCGGGGTTGACACGTGAACACCAAAGGTGGGCATGCCGTTGGATGCCATTGGGCCTTAAGGAAAGTTCAGCTCAACTGTCAGGTCTCCTGGCACATGGACATATTGGCAAGCAGAAAGACCCATCTGATCCGAAAAAACACGGACACATCCAGAAGGTTTAACCGGTAAACCGAAGATGAAGACAAACAATCCACAACAAAAATCTTCTTTCTCTAATTATGTTTAAGTTTATGTACTGCAAAGCCGAAGTGCCATTCAGCATGCCCCAAAAGACAGTGCCAGGTTGCATTCCGGGAGGGCACCTGAATTATCCTGAATTGGTAGGCTATTTGCCTGGCACCTGAATTATCACTTGGAAAATCTGTAGCTTTTGCGCTTCATGTCTGAGCTTCAGGTCCAAAGTTTGAATCCACATGAATCCACAATTACCTGAGCTGGGTTGCACAGGACCCCTGCCAATCGTTGCACACACGGAGATTCGAAGTGGCTTCACGGGTGATTTTCTGCTGGCCGGCTGGCATCGGTAGCTCACCTGTTTCGAGTTGTAGGCACAACTTGGAGAGTTTACTTTCTTTGCTTAGCCCTTGCTGATGATACGACATGGATGCATGATACATGTTTTCTATATAGATGAAATACAGGAACGTCAATGATAGCGGATTATGGCCACGCCCGCTATGGGCAAGTGATCCAACAGTTCAAGATGGCCATAATCTGGCGAGTTTCAGGATGACATTGCATCAGTCATCATGAATATCTTCACATGTCCAGCATCATATAATATCATATCGCATATCATGTGATATATAAATATCATATCATATCCCATATCATATCATCTCCGGCAGGTAGCACATGGTAGCACCACAAACTTGTAGCACGGAAACGTGTTTCGCCTCTTTTGTGCCTGGAAGATTTGAGACACCCAGATGGGATCTCGTTGTTTGGCGGTGAAATATGGTGAGTGGCAGCGGGTCGGAGGTCATCGCAGCCAATTTTTGGATGGAAGATGTGGTTTGCAACCAAGCAGAACCATGCAAAACGGGAATAAACCAATGCGCAATATATCCATTATATACTATTATAATATATGTATATATATATATAGAGTGAGGTTACAGGTTGCACCTCACCCAGAAGAAAAACGTGTAAGAAACAGAAATCCATGGGTCGTTCCTTCATGTTGTGTTGCATATACCGGTACATGTTTGCCTTCCCGTTTGCGTTTCTTTCTCCCAGGGACTAGGTGTCTATGTGAAGGACTTGACGGAGGAGGCGCCAGGGTTGTCGTGGCAAGGAGAGGAGATAAGACATGATCGGAGAACTTTGGAACCAACAGTAGCTATAGTATAGCTTCTAAAATCCTGCAAATATATGCATACATAGTTGATACACACACACACATATATATATATATATATACATGATATATGTGTGTGTGTGAGTGTGAGTTGATTGAAGATCTCCGGGAAAAGCCAACATGTTCATGGTTTTCCGCCCATTTTCCTACAGGAATTGCCATTTTGACATACGACATACCCATAGGGGCCCGCTCAAAGTTGCTCACGTCCAAAGTGGATGATTTATAATATCAATGATTAATGCCACCAAAATGACAGCAACAATGACGTCATTTTGTGGGTTAAACATGGTACCCCATGTTTGAGCTATGGCCATATTGCACATGAATGCATGATGATCTCTATGCTTAGCTTTGTATAAAAATGTATGTTCAACGTTTCGTAGATGATGTTCAGCAGCGAGCTCGCGGTGAAAGGCTTGGCCACCGAGGTAGCGCAGAAGTTTAGCCTTTGGCTCAAGAAAACGACTCTGTGAGCAAGTTCTCATATGTCATGTCATAGTGTAGCAGCCTATAGCAGCCAGTAGCAACATTCACTTTGCAGCTTGAACCACACCGTCCGGTGACTGGTGCTGTGGTATAGTGCTGTCCCCATGGGCCAAGTGTTATCCCCAGCTGGTGCTTGCCACAATGACTGCCTGTTGCCTGGATTGAAACGGGGTTTGCTAGTTGGGTTCACTGTGGCTTTCAGGATTGGGCGGAATATCTTGGAAGAAATCACCACAACTACATGAACTGGAAGAATTCAAGCTATTAGAGCCCAGCTGTCAGCTACTGGAAACCCTGACGCGATCTGACGCGCCCAGGAGTGGGTTGCGAACCATGCATCGCGGTTGCACTAAAAAAAATCGGCCGTTGGCGACGGGAGGTTGATCCGTGACATCCTGTGTGTGCCAGGATGGCGGTAGCTGGCAGTGAGAAGAAGGATGCGATTCAGCTTGTCACTGTCACAGTACGCACTCTCAATGGCTTCTGAGCTGCAGATCTTTAGATATCTTTGGTATCCCAGCTGGAAACGCAGATTGTTCCCAGATTTGCGCCTCTTCCATACCGTGCCATACCGTGTTCTTGCGTCGTGGCCGCTGAGGAAATTGTTGGACGATGGATTTCCCGGCATCTTGGCCATATTTGGTTCATATATGTATATATATATATATCATTATATATATATATATAAACATTGCATACATCACTGCAAAATAGATCAATTCAATGAATTGATGTAGGGGATTCAGGAAAGCCATTTCATGGGAAAATCCACAGCTTATTGCAGCAACTCAGGTGACCGCAACTGGCAGGCGGTGACGAGCTGGTGGTGATATCAACCATCCAAAGATATCCAAAGTGTACTACTACACCGTACAGATCCGTAGAGTTTATTTACACATGTTGCATATATTTGTCAAAAGGTATGCGAACCTTTTCTTTAAATATATGATAATACATGCAAATTTTGTACAACATAGACATGCAAAAAAGATAAAAAGAAGGGTTTGGCCAGGGTTTGGCGGGGTAGCGTTGCTGAAGAGTTCATGATGTTCATGTTTTCGTAGATGGAATATTCATACGAAAAAAGACGGCAGAAAGTATATGAAAGATACTCAGCTGTATGGATTGGTAATGGTTGGTATATTAACACCTGTTTTGGGTGGTGTGACCCCCACCGTTGCAGGGAGATCAAGTCCAAGATGCGACACATTTGGAAAGTACCGGAGGCGGAGCAACGACTTTCAAGCAACGGTCCTCAGCTGGGAGCAGGGTCCGTTTGAAAATGGGCGACTGCTCAATTCCTATGGATGATCACAATTTTCCCCATGTGAATCTGTGGTGATTTAGGCTATAGTCAACGGCTGATTTTCTAAATTTCGCCCACAGCGAAATTAGAACATTCTGGCGCCGCCTGGCGCCCCGAGGTGGAGCACAGATAGTCCATGATGATCCTTGGCTGCAAGTTCCCAAGCTGAGTGTACCCTCTGGTAAACTAACATAGCGAACTGGAAAATCACCATGTTTAATGGGAAAATCCACTATAAATGGCCATTTTCAATAGCTTTTTGTAAAATTACCAGAGGGTATTCCTATGGACATGGGTTGAAAGCTGTCATTTTTGCATTCAACGAATCATTCAAGCCATGGAGTGGATCCATGGTCAGCTGTTCGGAACAGGACGGCTAATAGTAGCAGTACTAGTTGGTGTGAACGTGGCTAAGGCTATCTTGCAATCCGAATGCAGATCGATGGCTGGATGGATAGATAGAGATAGATAGAAATATATATAAATAAATATTAATATATATAAATGTAGATATATAGATGTAGATATATAGATGTAGATATGGCTGAAATTCTGGTGAAATTGCGATAACAGACCATGACGGATAGATGTAGATATATAGATGTAGATATAATATATATATATAGATAGATAGATAGATGTTTGCCGCAAAAAGAAAAAGATCAGATAGACAGGCTGGAGCCCTTTTTGGCATTGGCATATCATTGGTACCAGGATATGCAGCCACTGCGCTCAACATCCTCGCTGCATTTGACCCGCGTCGCCGCAAAAGAATCAAGCCAATCGCTGTGGAAGTCGAGAACCATGCGCTTTGGTGCGAGGTATGTCAGGCCTAGCCGAGACTTGGACATGGAAAAAATATGAAAAAAACGCAAAGATTTTGGGACAGATTGGGCTTCCGGGAAGTTGATGTCTGTGGTAGTTGGAACATGGTACACGGCCCTCAGAAGCCTTGAAAATTCATGATACATTTCATTCCAAAAACTGCACAAGCATCACGATCTTTAACCAAACAGACCTTCGTTGATGGTGATGGCGGAATAACTCAAGATTCTCGACCCAAAAGCTGGAGCTAGATCCAGAATGCTAACTCATTTTCGATCACCAGGCCACAGGCCCATTGAACACTTTTTTTTTTTTTAAAGGGGTAGCTTAATATAAATTATTGTAGCTTAAATAATATAGCTTAATACTTTCCGTTGGAGGATTGGTGAATTACTCCCAACCCATGGCACCATGGCCACGATTTTTGAGGACTGGGCTCCGTACGCCTGGTGGGTCAGACCTTTCACGACCGCCGCCGCTGAGATTCGCTGAGTTCGGTGACGGTATAGATCGTCTGGGGAACCGCATTCTGTGACCCCTGGAATCCAGTAAAGTGCCATCCGTGGCAACTCGTTAGCTATGCATGTCCCTAACAGAGCCAAGGGAAATCTGGATGTAGACTGGTGGAGTACAAAATGGAGTCTATCTTTCAGATGATGCAGTTTGATATTTGTTTGATGCAGTGATATAGTGATCGAAGGAAGTTTAGAAGTCAAACTTCCGACAATATGGACAGATGAAAAGCAGAGATGGGAAGAGTCAGAGAGAAGAGAAGAGTAGAAGAGAGAAGATCAGAAGAGAAAGAGTAAGAAGAAAGAAGATGCAGATGCGCGAAAAGGTAGGAAAGCCGCGAAACACTGTGTTTTTTCCAATGATTTGTGGCTCCGGAGGGTCGAAAAGTAGGCTCGCTAAAGCGGCGGGTGCGGAGCCATCTGGCCAGATGTGATGAGAGATGAAAAAGTGCACGCCGTTGTGGCGCGAAGCGCATTTCCAAGTCAAAATGTACAAAACACACCAGGGTCGGACCACTTTTGGAAGTTGAGATATCAAAAAAGTGCACGCCGTTGTGGCGCGAAGCACACTTCGAAGTCAACATGTACAAAACACACTACGTACGGACCACTTTTGGACGTTCAGAGCTCATTTCGCGTGGCAGGCGCAGGGGATTGTGCACCTTCTCAAAAGTGAGCAAAACGTGAGGGTTTTGTAGCATTGCCAAAAACGATGGCAGGACCTGCAAGGATGCATTTTCCGTGGCAGGCACAGTACAAGAGACATTTCCATCGGAGCTGTTCGGAGGAGATTTCCTGAGAGGGGTTGCATTTGGGAGCATCAGATCTGTAGGTTTGCTAAGATAATTTTGCGTGACAGGTGCAGCACTTCGTATGACATGGCATCAATTTTTCGTGGCAGGCGCAGTACTTTAGACAGGTGGAAAGGAAAAATCGCAAAACGCATTGGTACGAGGCCGTCAGCGCTGCACTCAACTTTTCATTTTTGAAGGAAGTCTCGCAGAATTGCTTCCTTTTTGATGTTGCCAACTTCACAAATTGAGGAGGTCTCGCAGAATTGCTTCGTTTTTGATGTTATCAAGTTCAAAAGTTAAGGAAGTCTCGCAGAATTGTTTCCTTTTTGATGTTGCCAACGTCGAAAAATGAGGACGTCTCGCAGAATAGCTTGGTTTTCAAGCTGGCAGATAGACAGGTAGATAGATAGACAGATAGACAGACAGAGAGATAGATAGACAGATAGGTAGATGGGTCGATAGCTACATACACAATTAGATAGACAGATGAGATAGATAGATAGCTAGACAGATAGATGGATAGATAGATAGATAGATAAATGGATGGATAGACAGATAGATAGCTATATAAACAGATAGATAGATAGATGGATGGATGGATAGATAGATAGATAGAAATCTAGTTCGGTAGATAGATAGATAGATAGATAGATAGATAGATTGATCGATAGATCGGTAGATAGATAGATTAGAATAGAATCGAATAGAACGGAACAGAATAGATAGATAGATAGAAAGATGGAAAGACAGCTGGATAGATAGATAGAAAGATGGATAGACAGCTGGATAGATAGATAGATAGATAGATAGATAGATAGATAGATAGATAGATAGATAGATAGAGAGACAGATAGATAGATAGATAGATAGATAGACAGACAGACAGACAGATAGATAAGATAGATAGGTAGGGAGGTAGATAGATAGAAATATTGATAGACAGCTAGATAGATAAATAGATAGATAAATAGATAGATAAATAGGTAGATAAATAGATAGATAAATAGGTAGATAAATAGATGGATAAACAGATAGATAGATAGACAGGCAGACGGGGAGAGAGACAGAGAGAGAGAGAGAGAGGGAGAGAGAGAGAGAGATAGATTGATTGAATCGATGGATAGATTGAATAGATGGATAGATTGAATAGATGGATAGATGGATAGATGGATAGATAGAAAGATAGATAGGTAGGTAGGTAGGTAGATGATCAGAGGAAGAGAGAGAGAAAGAGAGAGAAAGAGAGCAAAAAAGAGAGAAAGAGAGGATACCTCAACCACCTTTTGGTCCATCAGTCGATTCGCTCTGCCATCCGTGATTCACAACAACCAACATCTCCTATAGGTTTCCTATTTTTGAAACTTCCGCCACCGCCTTGCGCGGTACTACTGGTAATTAACGGTAGAATGCAATGGCAGATGCTGCTTCTCAACTCTGCCCAACATCCAGACTGAAATTCATGAGAGGTGGAAGACTGATTTCCTGTCTTCCCATGTGATTCTAAGAAGTCTTCCGGAAACCATGCCACGTCTGTGTGATTTATGTATCAGTTGTCAGAACGCCGCACGTTTTATAGCTGTCAGTGAGAGTGGCATGACTTGGAAGCATAGGCCCAACCCGCTTTTTTCCCGCATGATTGTAGCAACAACACTGGCTTGGGCCACTGTGCTGCAACAGGCATAAACCCCCACCATTTGATAGGAACACTTTGTAGAGATGTTGGTGTTTGCATGTATTTGTTGGGAACATCCTGTGATCCGACGAATGTGACGTTCATGCTGAGCCTGTTGTGCTCACCGAATGGCCGATGCTATGGCTCGGCGAGGGTTTGTGCAGATTCCAGTGCAGCACCCCCAATCCTCAGAGGATCGATGTGACCGCGCCATGCTGGACATTGATAGGTCGCCTTCTTCAGCGGCCTTTCCGCTGGCAGCGTTGCACCGTTCCTTCCCTGGGCCCATAAACCAGCCCTTGGGGGGGCCCTACTCACCCACGCCCAAGGGTTGCATGTCTGGCCTAGACACTGCTCATTGGCACAAAGTTGCAATGCAGGGCAGTGTAAGGTCCCGGCTCAATCTGTGCCCAGACTGTGATCATTCATTTGCAAACATGTTAGCATAGTGAGGAAGAGTAATCAGGTGAAGATTGGGTTTGGTCGAGTTTGATTAGTTTCGTGGACTTTGGTGTGTTTTGAAGTCACCGAAGTGAGAAAGTTCTCTCAGATGGTATGCGTTGCAAACATTTCCAGACCTGCTTCATGTTCATTCGGTGGACGTGAAGTCCAGACGAGCCGGAACACCTTCCCTGTCTGATCGATTTGGCTGTCTATACTCACCCTAGATGCTGAAAGGCTCTATCGGCTCAATCTCACTGAACATCCAAAACATTGGAAGAATCCAAAGTTGCTGTTAAAGATCTATGTTGATATGATTATATGTGTGTGTGAGTGTGCAAATGTATTTACAAGTGTGTACAGTGTACACACATACATATATATAATTACATATAGATATATTGTGTCTATCTATCTAATTATTTGTTCGTCTCTTTGTTTGTCTGTTTGTCTGTCTATCTTATCTTATTTTATTTTATCTAATCTTTTCTCATCTGGATCTACTCGACTCTAATCTATCTATTTAATATATTTATCTATGGATCTGTATTGGCTACAGAGGCCACAAATCGTCCCCATCTTTCCTGATGTGTTCAGATCCCCACCTTTTGACATGTAAAAACATCCAGCCGCTGGTTGAAACCCACCAGGGTGATGCCACAAAGGACCTATCGGAAGTGCCAAGAGCTTGAACAGTGCTGATTTATTCGTCCCGCGTGGCGCAGCAACACGCACCAGTTCCGCCTTCACCATGTCCCGAATCGTCTCTTCTCGGACGATGAAGGTATAGATATTGATGTGCTACTTAGCGAAAACTGGGGATGTTTTGAGATCTTTCCCCTGGAATTGGGCATGGCCACTGCCCATTTTCAAGTCCCATTGAGGTCTAGGTGGGATGTTCAGCAGTCCATGACCACAGGCATGCTGCGAAAATGGGATGACCAGCCCTGGTGTTTTTGCTGTGGCACATATGTCTTCCCGGCTGAGGATAGAAGCAGAGGGCAGAGATTTGGTCATGGTTTTCCCATCGCCATAAGCGAAGTGTCGAGCAAACCACATCGACCCCAGCAGTTGGGTAACATTCTCTTTGGGGAAGGTGGTCCTATTATGTCCTATTTTGTTCATTCGCAGTTCCAAGTTGTGATAAACGGATAAACCTTATGTGGAATTTGGGGAGGTGCCCAACAGTCAACCTTGGTAGCATTTGCCGCCGCGACCAATCTCTGGTCTAACTCTGCTTCAGCAGTTCCCCAAGCGCCGCTCCATTTTGAATGAGACTCCTTCGAAGGAGATATGGAGCATCCCGGGAAAGTGAGGTGTGTATGAAAAAATGGGCTCTACACTCTACAAATATACATGATATACAGATGTACCATGGAGACACATGGTGGATGACTTCAACGCATAGTTTGGGTCTTGTGGATATTTTCAGTGATACTTCTGGTGTGGATGTCTTGCTTTGTGCGTGTGCGAGCTTGCACCCCAAGCTCTGACGGTGGTTCCAGCGAGTTTGGTCAAGGAAAGCATCACCGCGCATTCTCTGCAGGCAATGGCATATCTATGAAAATCACATATACAATGAACCCTAAAACTCGCGAGAGACTCCATGAGATACACACCTAAACTTTGCTCAAAAAATCTTTAAAAAACCTAATTTATGATATTCATGCCATTTCCTGTGTCGGAAAATTATTTTCCAATCATCTTTTTGGAGGTTCCATCTTGGCATTGCCATGGCGGCTGAAGGCTCCCATGCAGGCTTGACGGCTGCGGCACGTCAAGCCCGAAATCTGGCGATGCTTGGGAAGACTTTGCAAAGACAAAGGGAGGAGAAGGAGGAGCGCATTGCCATGGCAAGCATGATCATCATCACCTGCCCACCTGCCAAAATGATCCAAATATCTTGGATGGCTGGTGGTTTCACAATGTTTCACACATAATATTTCAACTGATCTGAAGGTATCTTAAGGATTCTTAAGGGTCCTTAATTAACCCGCCAGCGGCCGGCCACAGGAGAGTTAATAATCTAAAGGTCATGCATCCCTGAAACTGGATGAGAGGGTTGAAATAGCCGCCAGCCAGATGGGAACGTCCTGGCTGCCCCACTAACATCCTCCGTCAGTATATAACACTATATACAGGTGGCCTATTGTCAGTGGCTCACAGGGCTCACATGTGTGAACAGCTATCAACAGCTGTGGGTTTTCAGCAGTGGCACCAAACTTTCGTTAGCAGTGGCAACAGCCTCAACAACTGTCAACCATTCAATGACTTGGCACCCCGGGCCGACCCGTTGGGCCTCAAGGAGGAGGAGTTCTTCTTCATGGTTCGATGTCGAAAATCGGCACCGTGCGTCCCTGAACTTCAAGCGTCGCGGTCGGCACTGTGCGTCCCTGAAGTCCCAACTGAAGGACTGCGGATGAGCCCAGAAGGTCACCGTTGTACCCAGAGATGAAAAAAGGCTGGGGGATCCAGACAGACTTAGATCCTATAGGTGGAAATTGTACAGAATCAGGCTGCAATTAAAAAGAACCCGGCTGCAATGAAATAGAAAGATGTGTTTTTTTTTTCCCCGGCGAAATTGGGACCCCTCTTCTTGGTTTTGGCTAAGGTCAGATTGCTGCTTGTTGTTCAGAAAATCGAATTATTGCTTTATCACGCCGGCTTTCTATTCTGCTGCATTCATCTAGGAGAAAGTGCAGATGTTGTATATCATTGAAACCTTGTCGTAGCATTGTAAAAAAATACTTTACTTCGTGCGATCCCCACCATGACATTTATACATTTTGTTACTGGCAAATCTTCTGGCATTCTATCTGACGTTTTATCTGGCATTCTATCTGGCATACATTCTGGCATTCTATCTGGCATATCTTCTGACATTCTATATATCTGGCATATCTTCTGACATTCTTTCTGACATTCTTTCTGGCATTCTATCTGGCATATCTTCTGACATTCTTTCTGGCGCTCTATCTGTCATATATTCTGATATTCTTTCTGGCATATCTTGTGGCATTCAGAACATTCTTTCTGGCATATCTTGTGACATTCTTTCTGGCATATCTTCTGACATTCTTTCTGACATTCTATCTGGCATATCTTCTGACATTCTATCTGGCATATCTTCTGACATTCTTTCTGGCATATCTTCTGACATTCTGTCTGGCATATCTTCTGACATTCTTTCTGACATTCTTTCTGGCATTCTATCTGGCATATCTTCTGACATTCTATCTGACATCTTTTCTGACATTCTTCCCGTTGAGGTCCGGCAGTGCCCACTGCGATCTGGAAGTCGCGGTTGAGGTCCGGCAGTGCCCAGTGCTGCGGAGCCTGGAAGTCGCGGTTGAGGTCCGGCAGTGCCCACTGCGATCTGCAACTCGCGGTTGAGGTCCGGCAGTGCCCACTGGGATCTGGAGCTCGCGGTGGAGGTCCAGCTGTGCCCACTGGGATCTGGACTGCGAGGAGGAGGCGACGGGTGAGGAGGCGGAGGAGGCGGGGGAGGAGGAGGAGGAGGAGGAGAAGAGCTCTGTTAAAATCTAGCAACCCTCACCTGGCAGGTGGGGAAATACAATGGCCAATGGCCTGAAGGCACCTCTTAACTAAAAATAACATGCCAAATATTTTCGCTAAATCGTTGGCAGCTCAGCAATTCTCTGTGAGTACCTCGAAAATACCAACTGTGCTGGGCGTTTTTGGCATACATTTGAGCGCTGGGTATCTTGCCTGACTGGCGGCATTGGTATCTATACAATTCTATACATGTATTTACCGGACCACTCAAGATTGCAGATCAGTGTTTTTGAGCTGCAAGTGTTGCATTGGGATCAAGTTATTTATCGGTCTTCATGTTGGAAGCTATTTGCAATGACACCTCCCCCCAAAAAAAGAAACAACTTAATTACAAACTGAAACTTGGCCCGCGCAAGTTCGGGCTGGGACTTATCAAATCCAATGATCCACTTCGGCACATCTCGGCAGGACGGCCATGTCGGGTCGATTCCGATGCAGCAAAACGCTTGGTTCGGCACCACGCACGTGGTTCCGCACCACTGGAAGTAGACGCTCGCCCCCCGAATAAGGGTGATGACAAGTGAAAGGGACGTCGATAGAATGACTAAACTGAGGCTATGGGTGGCCTCATTTTTTGTTTTACCGTTTGGTAGTTGAACAAAACTTAGGAAAATCACATTTTGTGTAGGCAAATCTATAAATGAATCATTTTCCATAGCAATGTTAGATGATTAAATTGCCAGGTACGGTACATTGTTGTGACATGTGGTTACACACATTTTTCACGTGTTTGAACCTAGGGACGGTCATCCTCAGTTGACCTGTCAACAATGAATAGATTTGATGGTGATGGCAGTCCCCCAACTGGCCAACATTGTTTCCAGAGGCCATCATATGGATATGGGTCAAGACTTACGGGATGAGGGGATTCCCATCCAGTTCTTGTTTGACGACTGGGTTGACCCATCCGAGGAGGGCCTCCCCATGGCGATTCAGCGGCATTTCGGTGCCTTGGGCCTGCCCTTTGATGCTAAGGAGCCCGAAGTACGGCGCGGAACTCAGAAACCCAGGACCCAGTGGGAACATGTGGGAACTAAGTGCTGTTGATGTGTTTGGATGTGTTTGGATGTTTTTGTTTTGTCTATAGATGTGTATCAGGTTATACTTATACGGCGGTTTGGGTTGGTGGTTTGGAAGTCTGGGAAATCAGAGTTATGTGCAAAATAGATTTGAAAAATGTGTGTTTTTTTTGTGTGTGTTTTGTATTTGTTTTATTTTTTGTTTAACTAATCTAATCTAATCTAATCCTAATCTAATCCTAATCTAATCCTAATCTAATCTAATCCTAATCTAATCTAATCCTAATCTAATCTAATCCTAATCTAATCTAATCTAATCTAATCCTAATCTAATCCTAATCTAATCCTAATCTAATCCTAATCTAATCTAATCCTAATCCCTAATCCTAATCCTAATCCCTAATCCCTAATCCCTAATCCTAATCCCTAATCCTAATCCCAATCCTAATCCCCAATCCTAATCCCTAATCCCTAATCCTAATCCCTAATCCTAATCCCTAATCCTAATCCCTAATCCCTAATCCTAATCCCTAATCCTAATCTAATCTAATCCTAATCCCTAATCCTAATCCTAATCCCTAATCCCTAATCCTAATCCCTAATCCTAATCCTAATCCTAATCCCCAATCCTAATCCCTAATCCCTAATCCTAATCCCTAATCCTAATCCCTAATTCCAATTCTAAAGTCCCTAATTCCCTAATTTTAAAATCTTAATTCTAAATCCTAATTCTAAATCCCTAATTCTAAATCCTAATTCTAAATCCTAATTCTAAATCCTAAATCCTAATTCTAAATCCTAATTCTAAATCCTAATTCTAAATCCTAATTCTAATCCTAATCCTAATTCTAAATCCTAATTCTAAATCCTAATTCTAAATCCTAATTCTAAATCCTAATTCTAAATCCTAATTCCAAATCCCTAATTCTAAATCCTAATGCTAAATCCCTAATTCTAAATCCTAATTCTAAATCCTAATTCTAAATCCCTAATTCTAAATCCTAATTCTAAATCCTAATTCTAAATCCTAATTCTAAATCCTAATTCTAAATCCTAATTCTAAATCCTAATTGCTTCTAAATCCTAATTCTAAATCCTTAATTCTAAATCCTAATTCTAAATCCTAATTCCAAATCCTAATTCTAAATCCTAATTCTAAATCCTAAATCTTAATTCTAAATCCTAATTTTAAATCCTAATTCTAAATCCTAATTCTAAATCCTAATTTTAAATCCTAATTCTAAATCCTAATTCTAAATCCTAATTCTAAATCCTAATTCTAAATCCTAATTCTAAATCCTAATTCTAAATCCTAAATCTTAATTCTAAATCCTAATTCTAAATCCTAATTCCAAATCCTAATTCTAAATCCTAATTCTAAATCCTAAATCTTAATTCTAAATCCTAATTTTAAATCCTAATTCTAAATCCTAAATCTTAATTCTAAATCCTAATTTTAAATCCTAATTCTAAATCCTAAGTCTAAATCCTAATTCTAAATCCTAATTCTAAATCCTAAATCTAAATCCTAAATCTAAATCCTAAATCTGAATCCTAAATCTAAATCCTAAATCTAAATCCTAAATCTAAATCTTAATCTTAATCTAAATCTAAATCTTAATCTAATCTAATCTAATCTAATCTATCTTTCTAAGTATCTGTCTATCTGTTTGTTTGTCTGTCTGTCTATCTATTTACTTATCTAATATATCATATCCAATATATCTATTTGTTTGTCTGTCTATCTATCTATCTATCAATCTATCAATCTATCAATCTATCAATCTATCAACCAATCTCATATATCTACATAATCTATCTATTTATTTGTTTGTCTATTTGTCTATCAAACTAGTCTAATCTTCTCTGATCTTATCTAATCTAATCTAATCTAATCCAACCTCTCTAATCTTTCAAGTCTGTCTATTAATCTATCTAATCTATCTAATCCACCTAGTCTACCTTTTCTATCTGATCTATCTAATATGCCTACTCTATCCAAGTGACCTTACCTATCTATTCTATCTAAATAATCTACAGGAAAGCAAAGCAGAGAAAAAAAAAGTTTCTCTTGAAACAAATTCCATTGCGGTCCTATCCTGTACAGTACTCTGACTGATGCAGGTTTCATGGAGTTTCCATGGACTTTCCATGCAGTTTCCATGCAGGTTTCATGTTGGTTACATGCTGGGTTTGCTGATTTAGCTTACTGGTGTGTAACCTCCATGACAACTCCCTCGAACCTGCATGGAATCTGCATGGAACCTCCATGGAACCTGCATCAGGCAGAGTGCATGGTAAAACCAACAAGTGTAGATAGAGGCATCACCTCCATAACGCACATGGAAACTGCATGAAATCTACATCAATTCTCCATGGAACCTGCATGGAACCTCCATGAAAACTGCATCAGTTAGAAGGCGCCATGCAACCATCACGTTTAGACACAAGAAACAACGGTTACCTACATGAAACCTCCATGAAACCTACATCAATTCTCCATGGAACCTGCATGGATACTCCAGCAAAGAAGCGCCATACAAGCACCAGGTGTAGATACAGGGAACAGAGACTTTTTTTTTAGTGGACACTACGTGGAAACCATCAGACGCTTTGACGCAAATTGATCGCAAATCGATCGTAAATCGATCGTAAACTGATCGTAAAAAAACGCACAAAAACTGTCATAGCATCTGTGCATTTTGACGTCGTTTTCACTAGGTCATCTGTCTTTGTTGATGTCCCTTTTTGTTTCTGCACTGGAAAAGTCAATTTCTTCCAGAGTTTCTATTTATCCTGAGTGTTCACTGCTTGGTGGTTTCGATTTTGGCAAGGTTTCAAATGTGAATTTTTGTTTGATGTCATTTTGATGGAGTTTTATGTCTGTCTCGGTGTCAACTTGATGGAGGTTCCTAACATAATATTGCAAACTAAGTTAATTAAAAGACGAAACCACCAAGAGAAATGAACTCACTTATGTCATCTTGGATTCTATGATCACCAAACCATATGAATATATGAATTGGCAAGTGCCGTTTTCTACAGGCCTTAGGTTCTTGTCGATGTCATATTGATGTTGTTTTATGGCCTTCTTATTCGTTTTTAGGCCGATGTCAAATCGATCGACAAAGGATCGCAAAATGATCGCAAAACAACGTCGAAATCCTACATCAAAATGACACATTACAAAGTCCACACTTGAAACCCTGGCCTTGCCAACATCAAAACCGCCAAGCAACGAACACTCAGGATAAATAGAAATTCTGGAAGAATTTGACTTTTCCAGTACAGAAACCAAAAGAAACATCAGCAAAGACAGATGGCCTAGTGAAAACGACATCAAAACGCACAGATGCTATAACAGTTTTTGTGCGATCAATTTAGTTACGATCGATTTGCGATCGATTTGCATCAAAGCGTCCGATGGTTTCCATGTAGTTTCCATTTAAAAAAAACTCGAACATGTTCCCTGTATCTACACCTGATGATTGTATGGCGTCTTCCTTGATGGAGTATCCACGCAGGTTCCATGGAGAATTGATGTAGGTTTCATGGAGGTTTCATGTAGGTAACCGTCGTTTCTTGTGTCTAAACGTGATGGTTGCATGGCGCCTTCTAACTGATGCAGTTTTCATGGAGGTTCCATGCAGGTTCCATGGAGAATTGATGTAGAATTTCATGCAGTTTCCATGTGCGTTATGGAGGTGGTGCCTCTATCTACACTTGTTGGTTTTATCATGCACTCTGACTGATGCAGGTTCCATGGAGGTTCCATGCAGATTCCATGCAGGTTCGAGGGAGTTGTCATGGAGGTTACCCACCAGTAAGCTAAATTTGCAAACCCAGCATGTAACCAACATGAAACCTGCATGGAAGCTCCATGGAAAATCCATGAAACCTGCATCAGTCAGAGTACAGGATAGGACCACACGGTTTCAAGAAACTGTCTTTCCCCCATTTCAAAAATAAATAGACAAGTACAGAAAAATGCACCAGAATTCAATAATCAATTAAACAATCACGTGAAATTATTGGACATTAAATAAGTGTACATTTTCTGAGATACAAGATGAATATCAATTCAAAAACAAACCTAATCTGGTAGCAATCATTGTTGTTTTAAATTTGTTTTCTTTATTTTCAACGATTTCATTGTTTGCAGGGTTTGATATTTTTTGTTTTTTCTAAGTTTACAAAACCATCAATTCCCAGACTTCCAAACCACCAACCCAAACCACCACGTAAGCACAAGTTGAGTGTATGGTCTTAGTTAGATGTGTATGGTCTGGTATTAGTTAGACTTTACTTAGAACATATCATATAACAGATTTGGGTGTTCATCCCAGAAATTCAGAGAGTTTGATACTCACATGTTGGTCCAAGATAGTTTGAATATCCAAATAGTTGGTAGGTCCGTGTCATCAGCACAGGCTTTTGTCGGTTTTGACGCATCCCCATGTCCAGCCATTACAAAAACCGGATGAATTTTGTTGCAGCTGAAAGAATTAAAGATACTTGCAATAGAGAACCCAACCTCCTGAACTGACACATTTTTTTTTCTCTTCACAGGTTGGCCTACAAGCGGATGGTGCAGGCCCATGAAACATCGGATGCACCTGATGGGAAGAGGCTCAAACTGGCCACCCAAGCGCACGTGCCTTTGCATATGAAAATCGAGGATACAGCAGGGAGACTGCCTGGGGCATTCTAGAACCTTGCAGTCAGCTTTCTGGTGAATCTGGATATCTGGAATCAGTATTGCAAGGTATTTTTTCAGCATGTTCTGTTTCAATCAATCATATTTTCCCTTTACTCTCTTATAACTTATAATTCTTATTAACATCAAGAAAGATCCATGATGATCCATGGTCCCCAAATGCTATACTGTAGATGTTTTTCACTTGTGGTCAGATTTTGATATTTTACATGGTCAGCCAAGGACGCCATTTGTGAACACTTGGGACAGCAGCCCTGGTCACGAATGCCACCGCCACAAACGTGGGGGAGTGTCCGGTCCGAGTCTCCGAGCGAAGCTGAGAAAAGAGAGCGACAAAAGGATATGGTGAGTTCAGCAACAAAAATATAGGGCTATAGTATGCTATAGTCGCTATAGTTACAACATGTTATAACATGTTACAACACCAAGCCTTTCATAGATTTTCATAGGGATCTGGATGTAATCGGGGTGGTGATACAGAAACCGCAATATGATTTGGGTATATGTGGGTTCGTTCGACAATGGGGGATGCACAAGTATATGGCATTTGTTTGGAAGACAGTGGTGATCAACCATCAAATTTGGGAGTACAATACCCATTGTTGAGTTTTGCTGAGACAAACTCGAAGGGGAAAGGAATCAGTTTATTCAGTCAAGTCGGCAAAATGGTAGTTTTTGATATTGTTTGTTTTTCCATCCTTGCGCGTTTTTATCGAAATGGGATGATGTTATTATTATTACCCAATTGACTCAAGTTAGACGGGTCGTAATCCCTTTCCCCCCAATATTAACAACCGTAACAACCTCCATGGTTCCCATGGTTCAAGCTTTTTCAGTTGGACATGTCGGAAAATCGGTTCATCCCCGTTCAGGTGGTGGCAGATGCTGGCCAGCTGAACCGATTGATTCATGAAGGCATGGACGAGTTTGATGGCTACAAATGTTTGTCTTACCCTCTGGTAATTTAACGTAGCTATTGAAAATGACCATTTATAGTGGATTTACCCATTGAAAATGGTGATTTTCCATAGTTATGTTAGTTTACCAGAGGGTACCGATGAATAAAAAAAATGGTGTTGTTGTTATGGGTTTGTACCCAAAGTCTGCTTGGAATTGGTGCCAGATCAGATATGATCAGAAGAACCAAGCATGGTTTGGATTCCAAGTGAGCAGGTTCGGTGTTCCAAGTGCTCTTCCCGGCCGACAGGTTTCGCGCAACGCACCACTTCCGCGACAGCGATGAATGATGCATCGTCGAGGTCGCACTGCGTGGGGCACTTGGTGGTTATGGACCGCTCAGCATGGGTCAAGAGACACGCTGGGAAAACATGGGTGGAAGTTTGCGGCAGCAAACAAGGCATCGATATGTCAGATATGTCAGGCCTTCATGACCTATTGGTGTCATGGTGTCACCAAGTGTCATGGTGTCATGAAAGCGATATGATCCTATTGCATCCTATTGCATCCTATTGCTGCATCAAGTGATCGATGTCCGAGGTGTTTACCATTTGCTTGCACTACCAGGATACCGCAGACAGTTCCAGGCTAGGCGGCTAGACATGGGCCATGTCCAGAAAGCTTTGGTCTGGATGGTGGAAACCACAGCGGCAGGTCATTCGTTGGATGGTATGTTGGCTACCTAGAAACATGGGCCGAAAAAGTAAATACATGGTATACATCACTATAGTTATTACAGTTAATATAGTGTATGAATCTGATACTCGTCACGTGTAATTCATGTATATTAATGTATCATGATGCGTACATTGCTGCACAGCAAAAAACACCAGAGACCATCCATGACATCCGGCACGCCATTCTGGAAACCCTATCTGCTTGGTGGTTTGGAACATGGTTTATGGTAGATATAACTATAGTTAATGGGGATTATTTCATGGTTTATAAACCAACAAACACTGGTTGGTGGTTTGGAACATTTTTTATTTTTCCATCTATTGGGAATGTCATCATACCATTTGACTAACCCATATTTTTCAGAGGGGTAGGGCTCAACCACCAACCAGCTATTGCTGCTAGATGCTGGTAGATTTTTCCCTGCAATGTGGCCCCCCCAGTTATACTGTAAGTTGGTTTAGATTCGCCCCAGTAACTATAGTTATTTGCGTACCATAAACCATAGTTATTGGAGTTATAAACCCACCAACTTAGCCATCGAACGGGGGCCTCACATTGTATTCAATTTCCATTCAATCACCATTAGGTCCAATAAAATCACTATGACATCCCATTTAAAACACCATTTTTAATCACCAATTAACTCACCATTAAACCACGTCTGACCCGTGTCACCTGACGCGTCCCCCGGCTCGAGCGGTGACCCCTCCGTGGGTCGTGGGATCATGTGACGAAACATGGCCGACGGGGCGACCGCGGCTCCGCGAATTAAGTGGGGCAGTTGAGGTGAAAAACATGGGATCATGGGATTTAACTCTCATAAATATCCATAAATATCCATAAATGTCCATAAGTAATGATAGTAACTAATGATATAGTTCATAACTATAGTTCATACTATGGTTAATATAGTAAATATCCCATAGTTAATATCATTAGTTCATAACTATAGTAACTAATGATAGTTCATAATGGCTAATTACCATTAATTACCTACAATGTGAGGCCCCCGTTCGATAGCTAAGTTGGTGGGTTTATAACTCCAATAACTGTGGTTTATGGATGTTTATGGTACGCACATAACTATAGTTACTGGGGCGAATCTAAACCAACTTATAACTGGGGGGGGGCCACATTGTAAATATCCATAAATTTCCATAATAAGTCAATAAATATGAAACCCCTATGACTATGGTGATATGTCCAGATATGTCCACTCATAGCTGGAATTTCTCGGGGTCCCTCAAGATGATTGACCCACAAAAACCTACAAAATGGCAATGGGTGCTTTGAGAAGGTGAATCGAATTAGTGTGCGCATGGCTGGCCTAGTTTTGAGCCAGGCCCATTTGCCATGTTATGCCATGTTCATGATCATGAATTGACCGAAATGGACAGATCTGAACTCCAGATGAGCTCAAGGAAATCAGACGCGTATAAGCTCACATATAGACTAAGAATTGGAATCAAATGGGAAGTCAAACAATGTCAAACAGCCCCAAACGGTAGAAGCTGCCCGAAGAACTGCCAAGTGATTACTGTACATGCTCTGCATGTTTTAGCTGGATGTGCACAACTCTAGGTACTTTTTTGATCCTGTTTGTCCGCAAGAACCTCTCACTTCGATTTCGATTGCATTTTGAAATCCCTTCAGCAAAGTCCACCATTTTCATGTATTTCCATGCATATGTTCATGCATTTTCCAGTTTTCTTGTCAGGTAGGTAACCAAACCCTTCAGGTAAAATCACCCTAGTGACCTATCTCAAAGGCAACTGGAAGGCCGAGGATTGAACAAATGGTGGAAAAAAATCGCTTCGAAAGCAGCGTTTCACACGTGCCGCCAGATATTATGTCTGAGGTCAGCTATGTTTGGCGATCCTGTTTTCAAGGTCTAGCATCTTTCGTTCGACACAGCGACAGGCGAGGTATGGTGATAGCACGTTGGGCTAAAGAAGTGGCTGGTCGAAAATTCCTGCTGTGACTTGTGGTAAAGTCTCAGAGGTACAAAATCTTCAGCTGCAGATGATTTCCCATTGATTTGCCCAAATTCCATTGATTTACCAAGTGATTTCCATTGATTTCTCCTTTTTTCTCCCAATCATTTTCGGAAAATCACTGGAAAATCAATGGAAAGTGGTAAATTTGATCATTTATCATTGATTTCCATTGATTTTAGCCATGGTTTTCCAGTGATTCCCAAGGCGTTCCCTTTGCCAAACCGCTCCCAAAAAGCCAGGAGCGAGCCGCGAGAAAAAAGAGACGAACTGGCACGGCTTCCAGCGCCAGAAGTGCTCGCGGCAGTTTCCTGGCCCTGTTGCTTGGGAATTTAAACATCCTTTACATATGGAGGTAATGACATAAACCATATCATGAACTATTAGAATATGAGGCAATGACAATTATCATACAACATATATAATCAAATAATGGTAGGTTTCCTAAAATGGTGCTACCCCCAAATCATCCATCTTAATCATCCATTTTAATGGGATTTCCTGGGATTTCCACCAAAAAAAACATCAATTTTTAGGGGTACCTCCATTTCAAGAACCTCGGGAAGCATCAATCCAAGATCTTGGTGATATATGTGGACTGATAATTGGTTGATATAGGGTGTCAAGGTTCTTGAAGTTTTTTGTAAAGAAGGGTTGATGATTGGTTCGGGGATTATAAATCATAGACAATCACAATCCATTATGGGAATCCCGTTTTCAACCAAAACAGAAGGAAGAAGATGGAGATCAGAATGTATCAAGATAAGGTTAACCGATGAAGCCCATCCCCCCAAAAACAACCCAAAAGATTAAAATATCTGAAGCACCCCCCAGAAGCCATGGATCTAGGGTATTTACAATTATTTACATGATTTTACATATACATTTGGGATATTTGGGACCATTTAGGACGGTTCAATCAGGTTTCTCACACAGCTCCATGGTGGCCCAAGGTTCTGGACTATCTGTCTCCATCCACCCTGGCGACCCTGTGACTTGATATGACTTGATGGGGCATGTCGGCCATGGCTAAAAACCACATTACCCTCTGGTAATTTTACATAGCTATGGAAAATCACCATTTATTGTGGATTTTCCCACTATAAATGGTGATTTTCCATAGTTATGTTAGTTTACCAGAGGGTAACCTGACAAAACTGTCCCCGAACATGTTGAATCGGGGCATGTCTGATGATCGAATCAGGAGATTTTGGATTAATGGGTGCATCATTGGGAAAGGCCCTGAGATGCGCTGGGCGGTTTCACCGTTGTTTCCTACCTGGAAATGATCTTTGTGGTATGCTTTTCAATAGCGTTTTGCCAGTATATAATTATAGTAATATCAAATAGCCTCTGGTAAACTAACATATATTAATAACTGTGGAAAATTACCATGTTCAATAGGTAAATTTTAAATGAGCTATTTTCATGGCAATATTCAATAATTAGCTATGTTAGTTTACCAGAGGGTAATATGAAATACTCTGAAATGGTTTCTTACCCCAGTGATCCCAATTTTCCTAAGTTTACTCCGGGTCCGTGTGTGGTTTCATCGTCAGTTGGAGTTGTTTCCATCCTATTCAGGATGGTCCCCCCCGTGATGAATCTAGTGGTGGGAGCGGTTCCTAGCTATCGGTATTCATACTCCTTAGCCTTGGAGAACCAGTTGGAGCTGACATGAGTTTTCCAACCCCATGAAAGACGATCTATCAATGGATTGGTTTAAGGGAAAATCTTAACCGGAAACCATCGATTTTCCCATTACATATGGGGCTTAAACCAGTAAATTTTCCCTTGAACCAATCCATTGAATCTAGGGTTTCTGAAGGGTCCTAATGTGCGGGCGAAGGGATTAATAAATTAATAGTTTTGGTACGGCTCAGCCGCAGGGACAACGTCCGCAGGTCCATAGTCAGCTCCTGGTGTCGTCGCTTCGCAGATGCAGAGGAAGTTTGGCGACAGGCGTGCACAGAAGTTTCTGATCTTTGATACGGGGATATAATATGGGGACATAATGGGATGCATAACCATTTGCAAGATATTTGAGTGTGTAAATGGGGTCTACTCTCAATTTATATTTTTTTCAATGGAGGAAAATCATGATTAAATTACCAGCCTGATGAATATGAACCGGGACAAAATGTGACATCCAAAACGGGCCCCTTGAAAGGCCTGTGTGAAGACGTGGGCCACAAAGCAGCACTCAGCCCGCATGAGGAGATGGGGCCATCATAAATCGTTGGAGTTACGGGTTTTTCCCTTAATCATCGGACAAACCCAAATTTTGACTCTGAGAATGAGCAGTACATCTCATTATGACCAGTAGGAAGGTCGTGTTCTTGTTGGCATAGATCTTGCTACCAGCTAGTTTGTCAATAAGGCAATGTGGGTTCAAAAACGGTTTGCAGATGTAGGATGGAAAGTCGAGATCAAAAAGTGAAATCCTGAGGATGAAACTGGTTGGAGGAAGTGCGCGAGAATGTCAGGGTAATGGAATATTGTTTGACACAATGCATACATAGCACAACATAACATTGCATTGCAGTACAGTAAAGTACAGTACAGTACCATTCAATCCATACACATACCAACGCACGTGATTACGTACGTACGCACTGCATACATGACATACATGCGTACGTACATACATAGACATATGAGCAAGGGTCAAAAGACGCTATGAAAGGCTTCAATTACGATCCGCCATCACTACTCAAAATATGTGATTTACTGTGTGTAGCGATAGGGGGCCTTATGTAGCGATACCTCTTTTTAGACTTTGTTTATGATTGAAGCTTCCTGTTGGGCGCATGACTTTCCAATCTTTTGATGTCAGAGTGCGACACTGGAGCAGTCGCAGTGGGCTGGTCTTCCTGGGTAGTTGCAAGATGGCCTGTCGTCAAGTATATATGAGATAGTTACATTAAACAATATTGATATATTGGGGTATGTTGATCTATAAGGTATGCAAGAAACTAATTCATAACGCATCATGAGCTTGATGATGGTGATGATGCTGATGATGATGGTGATGGTGATGATGTTGATTCAGATAGTGACCGTGCTGAGATATGTTGAAAAAGCATCCTTGTGCGGTCACGGACGCTTCTCCAAAGCCACTGTCCAGGAGTAGAATTGCAACATGGAGCTTGTCAGAATTTCGTGTCACTTGAAACATACACCTGAGATCACACATTTTCTGGTCCCCGTAGCGATGCCCGAAGCGATACCCCTCGATACCCAGAGCGATACCTGAAATCCATGAAATTAGGGAGTACCCCACATGGTCACTTGAAACTATACAACTTGTGCTATAGGTGGAAAAATATGGGAAGTATGAACAAGGGTACCCTCAAGTTCTTACTGGGTTAGTTCTTAAAGGGTTCATTTGGTCAGGGTTTTGCCGATTCATTTTGGCGTGGTATTAGGTTGCAAAGGAGGCGGGGTGAAGAAAAAAAGGCGCCGGAAACAAGGCAGCACAGGCAAGACAAGCCAAGACAAGCCAACACAAGCCAAGGGCAGCCTCCGAGGTCAGATGACCTGCAGTGAGTCCGGCTGGTGTCTAGCTGAAGCTGTCGACGTCAGCCTTGGGGATCAAGTAAAAGTTTGAATTTCCCTGGAGATACCATCGCAAGGGGAATAAGAATCCGATTCCTCATCTGGATCCTCCTCTTCTAGCAGCAATTCTGCCTAGTTGGTGAAAAGGGTGCTGGGACTGTGTGTAGCGATAGGGGGCATTATGAAGCGATGCCATGACCTCACCACATGAATTGAGTTTTGACCGTCGCACATATATCCGTAGCCATTTTGGCTCAAGGTCTTGGCTCAGACCGCCACACGATTTTTCGCTCATTTCTGGGGTCTGTTGCCATAGCCTGAGTGGGCAGTGTGCGCCCACGGGACAATATTCGATTGACCTCGTTGTGGTCAAGAGGGACCTTTCGAATTGGCCTTTTTATTTTGGTGCTCTGGATTTGAACTTGTTTGGGTTGAATTTCCCCAAACTTTTGATCTCCTTGGGTCCAAAATTTGATTACTGGCTCTGCGGTGGCCTACAACCGGCGGTGTGGTGAATTTGATTTCAATTCTGGCTCTGCGGTTGCCGAACACCGAAATTTTCATCTCAATTCAAATTTCTCATCTTGTTTGCTCCTTTATTTACATTGTGCTCAACTGGTAACGCCCTGGTACTTTGTATTGGACTACAATTTGATTTGCCCGGTCTCTCTTTTGTCGTGTGAAACTGGTTTTGCCCTGGCACCTCACATTGAGACTACAACAATTTATGTGCTCATTTTTGCTCCTTTTTCTATTGATCGTCGTGGGCTTTGACCTGTTGCAAAATTCCAATCCTTACTGGAACGCAAAGGAGGCGCGCCAGGCGTTTGCGTCAGCAAGCGCGGCGAGCCTGGTTCTTACACCGCACGGGTGCGGTGACTTTGAATCCTTTTGCGCTACAACATCTGCGGCACATTTTGGCCGCTCATCATTCCAGGGTTTTGCAGTTTTTGAAAAGGGTCGACAAACAGATCATGGAACAGGAGCTTTGGCCGTGGCGTTGTGCCCGCTGCCAACGCATAAACAAAAAGAATGCGTTGAAGTGTGCGATGTGTCAGGCACACTGGACGAGTGGAACTCGTCACAATACCCAGCCAAAGCAGCAGCTTGCGCAGCAGGGAGAAGCAAGCTGGAACAATTGGACAGAATGGTCTCAGGAATGGGACGAATGGAAAGATGCAGATGCAAACTGGCGATGGGACGGTGCCAGGCCAGATCCCAGTCAAGATCGCAGTCTCAAGCCAGTACGAGAAGCAACAAATCGGAATCCAATCAGACAAAGGGCAAGAAGAACAAAGGCAAAGGCAAGGGGAAAGGTCGCAAAGGAACTTCTGGCAAAGAGACCACTGGAACCGTGACGGCCCAATCACCCTTTGCTCCGTTGACATCAGAACTGCCACCATGGCCATCTTTGGACAATGCAAGCAGCAGTTTGATGCCGACAGTCACGCCTTTTACAACACAACCATCGACAGAGACAGTTGCGCAAAAGCGAGAAGTGCTAAATGCGCTCCGCACTGCCTATACAGATTCTGCACAGATGCCTCAGGAAACAAAAGATCTCATTGCCAAACTGGAAGCAGATGTAGACCGAATGGAAAAGGAATTTTCAAAGGCTACGACAAAGAACCTGCATTCAGCTACCAAGGCATTGGGAAAAGCTCAAAAGACGCTCACGGAGGCGTTAGAAGCACGAAAGGTTCATCGCAACAGATGGACGCAGCATGTGGCAGAAGCTGCAAAAACCTGGGAAGGGCAGCTACACGAATTTCGCCAACAACAGGCGTCATTGCAGGAGATTGCTACCAAAGCACGTGCAGATATCGAAAGTGCAAGGAGCGCGATTCAGTCACTCTCGGCCAAGGCGACACCTGCGGCGTTAGCTGCAATGCCACCCATTGCTGCCGTGACTGCAGAAGCAGAGGATCTCACATTGGATGTGGATCAAGAGGAAGAGACTGTCCAGACAGTTCAGCAGCAACTGCAGACAGTTCTTCAAAGTTGTGCTGCATCACTGGGAGTGGAAGTGGCACCGGCAGCACAAACACCAAATGCGCCAGAAAGAATGGAGGATGCAGATCCAGAACAAAGACAAAAAAGACCACGATCTTTGGAGCCCTTTGGGGGTGGTGCTTCTTCCACTCCGGCTGGGGGAGCCAATGCATCATGAGGGATGGCGGTGTTCAGCTAGTTCCTAGCAATAGCTGGCACGACGCCGGAAATGGTCTTCCTGGTGTTGAGGCCTACGTGTGTAAGCCAAGCACACGTGCAGCATGCACCTGGATGTTACATGAATCTGATCTCCAACAAAGCTTACATTGGCGCAACTACAAAAAGGACAAATATACCTTCAAAAATGTCTTCACTACAGTTCTTTCTGCTTGGAAGTCCAGATGGGAAGTTCTGTGTGATCACTTTGCAGAAACAATGAAGCTTTTGGGATGTGCTTCAGATGAAACAAATATCTCTGCCGTTGAGATTAGAACCACCGATTCAGTAATTCATGACAATGATTTGGCTTCTTGTGTTGTAGCACAACATGTTTCGATGTTTGATATGCTCCACAGTGCCGATCAACTTTGTTGTGATGCCAAGTCAATTTCCGCCCGTCCTGGCCACCAGCACGGTAGGGTTGGTGTACTCAAAAGGGCACCATCACTTTCCACTGCGAGGTCCAGAAGTGTTCAATTTGATGAGAACATTTTGATTCACATTGGTCTCGATGATGAAACTGTCATGGGAATCTCGAACATGGATCATGACGTTCTACATTGTTGGGGTGAAAAACCATGGACGGGAAAAAGGATCAAATTGACCAAGCAGAATGAAACAAATCAATTGACTGCAAACATTGAATCCATTGAATGCAGAAGGAGCATGACAATGAAATGCCTGAACACGACCCTGAACATGAGCTTGGCAATGAGGATGTTGAGTCTCAAGTGCCGTCCCCGAGCGTTGACAGCACGCCAGCACTGCACCAAGGTGTTCACATCCACCGACTTGGCCACAACCAAATTTTTGCTCGTCCAAGATGGGACACGGTTGAACACATCTTGTGGGATGTTGCATTAATCGTTGGGGTACCTTTTGAACAGTTGTCGCATTGCCATCATGTCCAAGTTGCGCCAAATGATGTGGCTGAGCATGAAGACTCTGTTATCATTCAACACATCCATGATGTACCGGCGGGGTCAACTGAACAGTTAGTTCTTGTTGATGTTGAGATGCATTCCCAACAATCCAATTCTGTGATGCCACGTGCACCGGCAGTGTCCCGTCAAGTCCATCGTGTTGTACCAACGCTTGTTCGCAGACACCTGCTGCTTCTCACTAGAACTGCTGCATACTGTGATTGGCACCCACAGGACTGTATCGTTTTTTGCAATAGGGAAGTCTGGAATGAGAATGACCATGGCCCAAGGAGAATCACCCATGGCATGTACTTCCGCATCATTTTGCCACCCCCTCCATCTAGTACATGGGAAATCAGTAGAGCTGTCAATGTTTTCCATGAAGCCTTTGATCTTTTTGACCAGGAACTTGCGGGGAGGGTAGCTGAACGTGTGTTGAACGAAAATCAAGAGTGGCCGCCTGCTGCTGACGCAGATGTCGGTAGGACTCACAGGGAATGTAAGGGTGCCGATTTGGAAGGTCAT